CCAGACCACAAACGTTTTGGTCAAAGCCAATCAAGCTTCAGGCAGATACTTCATGGCTGCCAGACCTTTCATGGATGCTCCGGTTCCCGTTGACAACAAGACAGCCACAGCCATCTTCCAATACAGAGGAGTTCCGAACACCGTCCTGCCAAGCCTTCCTCAACTGCCTAACCCTAATGACACATCCTTCGCTTTAAGCTACAATAAGAAGCTCAGAAGCCTAAACAGTCCAAACTTTCCGGCCAATGTGCCTCTCAAAGTCGACCGGAAACTCTTCTACACCATTGGTTTCGGGAAAGAATCGTGCCCTAGTTGCATCAACGGAACAAGATTTGTTGCTTCCTTGAACAACATCTCTTTCGAGATGCCTCGGGTCGGGCTTCTGCAAGCACATTACTTCAACCTCAAAGGGGTGTTCAAAACCGACTTCCCCGATAGGCCTTCAACTGCATTCAACTACACTGGTGCACCACTCACAGCCAATCTTGGGACATCAACTGGAACTAGGCTGAGCAAGATTGCTTTCAATTCGACAGTTGAGCTGGTTTTACAAGACACGAATCTCCTAACCGTGGAGTCGCATCCGTTCCATCTCCACGGATACAACTTCTTTGTTGTTGGAACTGGGATTGGGAATTTTGATCCTGCCAAGGACCCTGCTAAGTACAACTTGGTTGATCCTGTTGAGAGAAATACAATTGGAGTTCCCACAGGTGGTTGGACCGCCTTTCGGTTTACAGCTGATAATCCAGGTACGATGATCACATAACTTTTAACATGTACCGCATTTACTGACCACGTATTAGTTATTTACTTACTATAACCTTTGCTTCTCATTGAACGTCTAGGCGTTTGGTTCATGCACTGTCACTTGGAGCTTCATACTGGCTGGGGACTGAAAACAGCATTCGTTGTAGAAGATGGACCAGGATCGGATCAATCTGTTCTGCCTCCGCCTAAGGATCTTCCGCCTTGCTGACAATGCACGGACCCGGTTCATATCAATCTCTTGCAAAAGTTGCAGAAGGTTTCTTGAGGGTTCACAAACAATTACCAATCAACACAAATCAATTTGTGTGAGACCAAAAATGTAACAAATTACACCATACCATGTAATAATTGTTTTAACAAATTAGACTGGAAACATTTTATTTAACCATATCATGGTCTGTAGAATCAAGAAATTTGGAGATGCAGAAACAAGTAACAACATTTTATCTTGTTTTCTCGATTCAACGGATCTGAGCTGAAGCCATACAGGTGTAATTTGATACGGTCTTTTGAAAATGCTTTTAGAAAAATTATCTCACTTACATTTGTATTAAAGATTAATTTTAAAATGCGTTTATTAAAAGCACTTTTAACTATTTTGAAAACACATTATTGCTAATTTTACGTAAATCAATGACGTGTAAAAATGAATGACTCCTTACATGAAACGAAACGAGTTAAATGATACTTCATGTTGGGCCTGAATAATAAGTGGATCGAATCGGTCCAAACCCAGTAAAAGAATATCCGAATTTCTATATTTGATCCCTGGGCTTGGCGGGTGGTGGCGTGGTACCCGACGGACAGAAGAAGATTTGAGTATATGGAGTGGAACCACACAAACCAACCCACTCGACTCGACGAAGAAGATGGCGATGGCGATGGTTTCTATGCTCGTTTCGCTCCCCACCCTCACTCCTCCCAACTCCCGCCGAGTCAACCGGTGAGTTCATTTCTCTCTCTCAAGTCGGTCTTTCATCAGCTCGGTTTCCTGTAAATTTCACATCACACAAACACGCAGGTTTTGGCAAACAACGCCAAAAACGTCGTCATCCGTGATGGTTATTGCAAGCGGCGCCGGAAGCAAAGTGAGCGCTACTGCAGGGGTGAAATTTGCAGAGGGAGAAGAGAAATTGCCCAAGGTCGTTTTGACCAGCGCCGGCGGCAGGTACATTGTGTTGGTTTTGTGGGTTGCGGCTGAATTCGCATTTGGAAACGGAACTTTGACTTTTTTTTTTGAATTTTTTATTGGAAATTTGAAATGGGTCGATGAATTTTGATGCTTGCAGTGAGGCGGATGTATATTTATATGGCGGTGTTATTACTTCTTGGAAAGTCCCAAATGGGAGGGACCTGCTTTTTGTTCGACCTGATGCGGTGTTCAACAAGAAGAAACCAATCAGGTTGTTTTCGATTTCGTGGGTTCCTTTTTTGGGTTTTCGGAAATAAGTTGGCTTCCGTTTGGGATTAAGTTTCAGTCAATAACTTTGTTATGCTTGCCAAAATGAGAAGAATTGAAATGATCATTAAAAAATTACTTGCTTTATTTTGGAAATATCAAATTTGGTTTCTTTTCGTTGTGTTCTGTATGTTTCAAAAGGGTCTGAAATTCCTTTGATTTGTTTGTTAAGCATGTTACTTTGAATAATCATTTTGCCTGAAAGCTGGGATTTTCGTCAAGATACTGACTATTCTCTCTTGGGATAGTGGAGGCGTTCCACATTGTTTTCCACAGTTTGGACCAGGCCCTATGCAGCAGGTACAACCCTCTAATTTTGTTTCTATACCATCGTCTTCTTTCTGTCTTTAATGTTATGAGTTAAATTGATATCAGATACTTCAATTTGATGAGTGCCTGAATTAGAAACCTAAACACTTAAAACCTGAGAATGGCAGTTGATGGATGTTTGTATTTTAATGGTAGGTTGATTGATTTCTTGATAAATGTTACATAACCACATAACCACATTGCCTAATGTGCTATGGTAGTAGTAAGTCCATTGACATTGTTGCTTCCATCAAAGATTCTCGTATGGAGATCCAGATTTTTGTTCTGGCTGCATGATACATGACTGCATTATTCGGGTTTTTGCTATTGTTCTGAGGCTTGGAGATGTTTCTTCAATTAACAGCACGGATTTGCAAGAAATCTGGACTGGTCCGTCATTGATTCTGAAAATGTGCAAGGAGATCCTACCATAACTTTAGAACTAAAGGATGGTGAATACAGTCGCTCAATGTGGGATTTCAGCTTTCAAGTTTTGTACAAGGTCAGTTGCACATAACCCTCTATGAAAATGATAATTGTCTAGTGTACAAGGTCAGTTGCACATAACCCTCTATGAAAATGATAATTGTCTAGTGCACACTTGTAACTCACTGCCCCCTTGGCGTGCACAGCTGCTACACAACAATACTATGTTAGGCCACATGCATATATGGTAATTTTGTAGTCGTAATTTTATTGACTCCCCCATATGATATTGCATTTTCCATAACCTGGAGTGGACAAAACTTCTAACGTGTTTCAATGGTTGCAGGTCACTTTGCAAACAAAGAGCCTTTCCACAGAACTTGTAATTAAAAATACAGACAGCAAGCCATTTTCATTCAGCACCGCATTGCATACATACTTCCGGGTAAGTATGATTATTTTATGCTTAGGGGTTCGGTTATCATTCTGGCATAACTCCTATTATCAGTGTGGAGTGGAGGGATAATTTGAGGTGGAAATGATTGAGCTATTCATATATTCTTTCTAATGACTTCAAAAGTCTGAAAATACTAGGAATCACATCCTCAGCAAAGATTTTGAATTTGATAACGTAAAATGGACTTTGATAAATGATTGTATCATTAACATTTAACCTTTATCACGAAGGCTGCTGTACAAGGGGCATCAGTTAAAGGTTTGAAAGGCTGCAAAACACTAAATAAAGATCCTGATCCCAAGAATCCACTGGAGGGCAAGGAAGAAAGGCCTGTATCATTTTCGTTACATGCTTTTATCACATGAAAAAAGTGACATGAGTTCAATGCTTTCTTTTTCAGTTTATTGGCTGGGTAAATAAGGTTTGATGGGGCAGTATAAAATGCTTTTGTCATAGATTATTCGCTTTTCAGCACTATTTTTTGAAATCTTGCGGGACATGTTGCTAGGCATTTCTGATTGATATCTTAATGACACAGGGATGGGATCACTTTTCCTGGATTCGTGGATTGCGTATACCTGGATGCCCCTGATGAGTTACATCTTGATAATGGCTTAGGTGATGTAATATCTATCAAGAACACAAAGTAAGTCTAAATCTTAGTTTATTTTGTTTGGTAAAATTCTTTTCCATCTGTTTCACTTGCTCGACTCCTCTATCCTTTTTGTCTATGTAGTTGGACAGATGCTGTTTTGTGGAACCCATATCTGACAATGGAAGCATGCTACAAAGATTTTGTTTGTGTCGAAAATGCAAAGGTATGGAACTCGAAATTGGAATTGTCTATTGGATGCTAAAAATGCTGATGTATCCGGACAGGGAACTCGACTAACTAGTAACTACTGAGTGGTTCTATTTTCTGTTAAGCTTAAGATGCCCATCATTCGATATGCGTTTCCATCATTAGTCAGCAATGAGATGCTATTTATATTGAACAACTTTTAGATATTCTTCCTCGTGTGTTATGAAATGTATACCGATTCTAATTCAAACATAATCCGTCTTTCTCTTCATGTCCATATCAGATTGGAAACGTACAGCTAGAGCCTGGTAATACGTGGATTGCTACGCAACATCTTAGCATTAATTGAAGAGTGGCTGAACCCCGTTATTCAATTTTGTAAACATAATGTATCTTCTTTGTTTTCGAGTCTTTTATTTGTTGTTATACAAAGCTTTTAAGCTACAAAACAAGCAAAGTTTATCAATAATGGATGGTCCTGTATATGTTTCCGTTCTGAATATTATGTTTCCTTTGGTGATCCTGTTGTACTCTCTCTCTCTCTCTCTCTCTCTCTCTCTCTCTCTCTACAAAAATTGTGAGATTAAAAACTGAATTCATTTCAGAGGAAAACACCAGAGCGCAGTTTCAAATGCTCAAATCGATAAATCAAATCTAGTTCTCATTAGCATTTCTGTCGATTAACAGAACCTCAAAACGCATCAAGAGAAGTACTCTATGAGCTCAGAAAGCTCACTAAAGACATGCATCAAGACAGACCTAAACCCTAAATTATTCCGACTCTGTTCTAATCACAAAGCGAACATCGAAATAATGCAAACCAGAAGTATAATCAGTCCCACAGCCCACACCCAGTAAACCCACTTCTTGTTCTTCTTCTTCATCTGGCTGGCATAGTGAAGACTGTTTGTGCCACCACTGATGAAATAACCGGCATTCGCCACATTGTCTTCGATATTTTCAATGTCTTCGCCTTGTGCCTCAACCAGAACAGCCATGTCGAGAAACACCTGATGAAGCTTTGTCAGACTTCTCTGGATATCCATCACTGCCTCGTGTCGGACTTTGTTCCCAATATCCAGTTCCGTCTTCCCTTCGAACAATTCAACTTTCAAGCTTCCGGAAATTATCTTTTCGATCATCTCATCGGATGGCAAGTCGCCCGTTGCGCTGTAGTACCTCCTCTTCAGATCTTCCTTATGATCCGAAACAATCTTCTCTCTCAGAGATTGAAAATTGTCCATCAGGTCCCTTAGCTTGACTCTCAAGCCACCAGTGATGGACATTCTAGTCCGGTCCACAGTGCTTCCCTCCTTGTACGCATCGGACATTTTTCTGTTGGTCGCATTTGACTGATCAAGCGCTTCAAGCCTCGCCTTGACAATCCTCGCTTTTCGAAGCACCGCGACCATGTCAGATTCCATCCGGTCTCTAAGCCCGCGGAGAATCTTGGCACTGTGAGTGGACTTTGCCTCAGTGTTCAGGCTCTGGAGATCGTGCAAGAGATTGGTGATCTCTTCCATGTCGGCCTTGATTGCTCCGACTTCTTGGAAGAACTGAGAGAGGTTTTCTTGGTCGGACGGGTTGAGTTTGCCTGCGCCTGCTTCGACATCAAGATCCGCTTCAAGGTCCTTCTGCGCCTGTTTCTTCAGTTCCACATAACTTAAGAAAGATTTGGTCATCAAATCATTCATCTTTGCAAAGAATCGCAAAACCCACCTGCAGAAATTCCAGAAAATTCAACTTTCTCAAAGGAATACTTAAAATGAAAGCCCAGTCGAAGAAATCAAAGAAAGATTTCCTGAATTTTAATTTTACCCTCTCAAATTCAAGAACAGAATCTTCTTCTCAAGATTGCAGCGCTTCTTCTTCTGTGTTGCTCCAAGAGATCTAAATTTCACAGAAAATTAACGAACTTCATCATCAAAAAGTTAAGAACCAAAACCCATGAAGAGATCACGAAAACACACAAAACCCGTCTGATAAACTTTGAAAAAATGAACGAAAAAATAATTGATGCCTACCCAGAAACAAGAATTGAGAAAAAGGAACGAAAAAATTACAGAAAGTGGGATTTCGGGAAAAACCTTGAAGAAATATGAGTACTCTGTTTCTGTTTCTAGCGCCGCCGAGTCGCCGACTATCTTTCTTATCACTGTCACTGCGATTTTGACAGTGGGGGTTTCTGGTTTTTTATTTTTGGTGGGGGGATGAGCGAGAGGAGAACAGAGAAGAAGGAAGTCTCCGATGAACGAGAGAGAGAGAGAGAGAGAGAGAGAGAGAGAGGGATCGCAATCTTGTGGGTTGGGTTTCTTTGTGTAACCGCTTAAATTTCAAATTGCCGTTGATGATATATGTAGCCGTTAAGTTCTTTTACAATTGGAAAGGCGGTGGATGGCGAGGCGGTTATGGATGTGGTTAGTTAAAAGGTTTTTTTTATGATTTTATGGGATTTGGCGAAAACAGCTTAATGATTTGATTTACTTCTAAAACATATCTATCCTTGTTTGATTTAATTTTGATAGGGACTTGGATTGTATTTAACTGACTCTAAGGCTCGCATTGCCAAACCAAGAACAAGATTTCTTGACGAGAGAGACTTCAGGACGTTTGTTTAAGTTGGTCACACATTGTCATGTATTGATGTTATTACTGGTAATGCGACTTGGTATGCCACTAGTGTGGGAATAGTTTTTTGAAAGTTGTTATCCTCGTTGTCATGAGAAGTTTTTCAGTGCGACTGTCATACCGTCACATGACGTTACAATTCACTAATGTTATAATGAGCGTATTTTATAGCAATACTATAACTTAGTTCCATAATCATTTATGTCTGTGAGTTCATATTATAACACGTAAATTAGTAACACCGCAAAGTGCCATCTTTTTTTGGTCGATAATACGAGTTTTACAGCCAAAGGCAAGACAAAACAAAGAACAAGCAAACTCTTAAAAGGGAGATGATAACCTGAGCTTTCACAAAGGCTGGAACTGAAACAGTTCCAGGAGGTAAAAAACTCAGCTACCAAGCCGAAGTGGCTTCCAAAAAAACTGCAGCCAGGATAGGAGAGCTATTCCCATCCCGACCTGGAAAAGGGGGGCTAAGGATTGGGTATGATCTACCCATATCATGGGAAGCATTTTTTGACATGAAAATTGACTTACTGAGTTCTGAAACTTGTACACAGATCGAAAAAAAGCAGGTATTTTGTTGACATTTGCTGCACTGAGAACCGTACTCATAAACTCGGTTAACCTCAGGTTGTTCCTGTTGACAAAACACTAGCAGTAAAACGAATGGCTTCTACTACACAACACAATCTGCATTTGCAGAATCTGAAGTGATCCACATGCGATGATGACCCGAAATTGAAGGATATTACCATTCTACCAATCTTCTTTTGCTCTGCAACAAACAACTCGATTGACTTTTGGCACAGATACACTCTCCCACATCTTATTTTTCATACAATTTTTCACCCTCAAGCCTTCAAATGTGACGCATTACACTTGCATGGTTTCAAGTACATTTTTGGAAATAAACTTGGTTTATGTTGGCTGTTGGTTCTTGGCCTTCTCCGCCTCAAGCTTCCTTAATGTTGTTGAACTTAGCTTATCTCCACTAGATTCTTCAGAAACTAAATCTACAACTTCAATCTGCACAGAGACCCACAAAATTAAGGATAACCGTCACAATGATTTTCAAATAAATAGAAAGGGGTCTAGTTTAGATATGTTAAAATCTGAAAAATATTGAATTTGCGGCAACCAACTCAAACCTTAAGTTGTGACAGGCCTCGGTCAACTCTCTTCTTATTGACAGACAGTCCACCTGGTAAAGTCTCCTTGCTGCCAGAAACCAAATCTAAAATTAGTGAAGAAATAACTGTAACAGCAGCAAAAGCAAAACCTGATGATGAGTGCTACGCCTTATGCAGGCCAAGCTAACTCAACTTATTCCGTCCTTCAAAGGGAAATCAACTCAGCCTAATCTAAATCCAGACCGATTAGCTTTAAACATTAAATCAAGTGATGATCAACGTCAAAACTCAAAAGTGACACATGGACTTCAAGAGTGAAGCGAAGAAGAGATTGACAGCTTTACAAGTTCATGTTGATAAAGATCGACTCAGCAACATTATAACGAAATTGAGATGCTAGCAAAGACCAAAGAAAAAGATGTAAATCTGTAACAAACCTGACAACAATTGCCTCCAGATTCTCATCAACTATTGAGGGGCCATACGGGTCCATAATAGGTTCAGCTTGCACTACCAGCCCAGGCTTGATAGACTGTGAAAATACATGCAGGAAATTGAGGACTGAAAATACCGTTATTAATACATAAGAAAGAACACATTTTTTATGACACAACAATGCTGCAGGAAACGATACAGAAATTGTTGAACGCAATATCCCCCTGAGATTGCAAGGTTGAAGGTCCATATGTACTGCCACCTAATCCACTTTCCCTAACCTTTACCAAAACTGGAATACTAGCAAAGGTCACCCTGAAATTGAGATGTAAAAAGATGAAAGCGGTATGGACATATGGTGGCGGAACAAATGAACCTGTTCGAACCCACAACCACAGCTACAACAGAATGAGCTGCATTGCAACTCAGTCAAAAACTGCGATACTTTTTTCTTATGGATGGAGAAGATAATTTTTCCAAGTGAACTATAGCACCGTTTGTCCTTCAAGTATCTGAAATCCACCATACTTTTTAAATTTTATACATCCGAAAGTTCATCAAACCATTTCTACTAAAAATGCAAATGCAAATCTCTTTTTTTTTCAATACAAACTAATCGAATCGCAATATAAACAAATTCATGGAGCATAATACCTTGATGAAATTCTCAACACTACGCTTCCTTTCTTCAAGGGGTTGTATCAGATCAGCAAACTGCCATATAACCGCAACATTAACCATCGAAATCTACCTTATCAAGTTATCAACTAAAACTATGTAGGCTTTCAGACAATAATTCCATTAAATTTACAGCCTTTCTGGAAAATCAATGCTAATAACAACTAAACCAGTTCGATTTAAATCCACAAAATTCGTAAAATCCGAATGATGAATGAAAAAAAAAAAAGAACCTGCTTGTTAGTCAACATGGGTCCGTCGCAAATTCCGACCACAATCCGATCCCTTGCCAGCTCCGCCGCCCCCTGCTTCCATTTCCATCAAACCATTAATCTTAAAATTCACATGTAAGAGAAAAAAGAAAGACAGAGATGAAGAAACAGACCTTGAGAAACAGGCGATGGCCGTCGTGTAATCGGTCGAAGGTGCCGCCGAGAACGACGGCTCCGTATGTATTGGGGGGAGAGAGCTTGGAATTCACCAGCGAATCCTCCAAAGCCGCCATCTTTAACGCGCGACTCCGAACTGCAGAAGCAAGATCGAAAGAGTCGTTATTCTTTCTAGTTTATTATTAAACGACAAACATTTCTTTTTTTAGGATCACTTCTCAGAAAACGGCTGAGGAAAGGGATCTGGATCCCTTTCAACTTAATTCATCTCATCAAACAATTCGGATCCTTAAATTTTGATTAAACGATTAAAATTATTATAACTTTTAAAATGAACCTTTATTTACGGCTGTTAAATCAAATTTTAAAAGTTCAGATTATTTGATGAAAAAAATTAGGTGGAAGAGATCCGGAAGCGTCACTTTCCAACTGCTGACAACGTTGGGGTGGTTGGTCGTCGGCTGAAACTAGTATACCCACTTACCTATAAAGTCAAATGAACCTGGACATTTTGCTTATAAATGGGCCGGGTCGGGTTTTCAAATTTTGGTTAGTAGCTCTAAGTTCTCTTAACTACTTGGGCTACGGGAAGATTGAGCTATGGGAAGAGAGAGTTGAATGCATAACCTCAGTTACATGCCCCGACCTTACATCAACAAACCAGTAGTAAAAGGTTGAATTGTCATTCCAAATCTACTTTTGCTATGCAAACGTGAGTTAAGTCAACTGATCATACTGCCAGTGCATGTGCACGCCTCCTTGCGCCCAATCCAATCATCTAACTTGTAAATTGAGTAGATTAGAATATCGTTTAGTCAAAAAATAAATCTATTGAAACTCTAACAATGCAAGCATGAATGAAGGCTATGAAGCAGTAGGATATGAAAAGTTCAAAAGAAGCATTAGATAACATGGATTTTCGCTGTGAACTAATAGACTACAAAATTATTGGCATTTGCTGCGTGAGAACTAAACTCATCGACACATTTATAACCTCGGACGTGTTCCTATTGAGAACACACCAGCCGCTCTTTAAATCGAATGACTTCTACACAACAATCTGCATTTGCAGAGTTCACGTCGTCTTAACCGTAGTCAAACAATCTTTCAAGAAACTGTCAAGCTCCGAACAGTATATGTCGGGGAAATTCCTGAAGTGATCCACATGAGGTGTTGTGCCGAAATTGAAGGACCTTACAATTCTACCATTCCGCTTTTGCTCAGCCATGAACAACTCGACTGACTGGTGTGGAATGACTTTATCAGCAGTGCTATATAGGTAAAGTTGCGGGCAATAAGGAGTGTTTTCCGAAAGAATAGAAACTACCTTCGTTAACCTCCTGAAAGAAAACAAAACAAAAGTCAATCGTATACCTTTCAACTGAAATGTTCTGCCCATTTTCTTGAGCATCCAGTCATATATCATCTAAGATTTACAAGTGTTTAAGTCAAAAACAAGTTAAGGGAAACAAATGTTAGAACTCAGAGCACTACTTACTTATCCACATCAGGAAACTTTAGAAGAACCGAAAACAGCTTCTCTAATACCAGCAGAACCACGGATTCAACTAGCGGAGGCTTGTCTTCTTGCAGCTTTGACAAGCTTGCCGCATCTTCTGACTCATTTAAATCTCTAGCCTCAAGGCCCTCAACTGCAGAGCTTGTTAAAGAGCTGCGTTTCTTCAAAATTGCTGCAGAAAATCCTGCTGCCCACACCTGTCAAGGTTAAAAGAAGGTAATCATTTGCACACGGTACCATAAATGCAAAGCAAAACGACACCAATTAGATGACAGACGCGAACTACTAATTTAGTAGTAATAAGCACGTTATCAATTTTGGATTCGAAAATCTGGAGTGGATCTTGACGCTGACATTTTACCAAATAGAGAAATGTGAGATGTTATGAATTCGAAACATATAGCTCAAGTTGAACTCACATTGATGTAAAACCATAAAACTAAACATAAAGCGATAAAAAGCAAAATATTTGGCCAACTAGATTCATAAACATTCCTTGGCTTCAAGTAATTGCATTGAAGATTCGATCAAAACGCAACAAACAATTGAGAAGCGAAGGAAAATCTGCATTGCAAGGTGATAAGTTGCAGCAGTCTAATGAGCAGCAAGTCAATTCAGAATCCACTAACTAGGGAATCCAATCAAAAGCACATCATATATTCAATCTAAGCAAACAAATTCATCCAATTCTTATGACACGTTCTTTTGTTATTCGACATCAATCAATCGATACTTAAAAATCCGATCAACCATGATCAACAAAACCTTGGGATTAAACGGTTCAGCTGCTCCTGAATCAACAACACACCCTTTAATCTTTTCCATCAGATCTTGCCTCCCCTGCATAATTTCAAGAATGGCGCCATACCTGCAACAAACTAACCGCCATAAGCAAACTCCGAAAACCCGGGAATTGACAATCCATGAAAGCAGTAACACAAATCAATCACATTCAAACAAAGAGTACCTACACAAACCAACCCGTGTTGCTGAAGGTGTGGAAAAGCAAGCATCTTTCTCCGCCCTCCTCCACCCACGAAGCGAGATCCCGGGCCAAGTCCGAAACCCGATTTTCGACCCGGCGGCTCAAATCAAACCAGAGAACCTCCCTCGGATCAACGACGAAGGTCACGGCGTGAATGCCTCTGGAGTTGTACCACTCCACGTACCTCTTTAGGTGCTTCGTCTTGGCCCCGAGCCAGCCTAGCAACACCACCGTCACTTCACGGTTGTGGGTCCCGAAAGAACCCACATTTCCGTTAATGCCGCCGTGGAACGCCCGGTTCCAGATGGGAACGCCGTCGTTTGAGGGTGAGAGAGAGTGGTTGAAGTTGCTGAACGGCGACGGGGAGGAGAGAGAAAGGGGGAGGGATTTGAAGGGGTTCGGATTGAAGGAGAACGAGGAGTGCGGCTGAGCGAGCGAAAGAGAAAAGGGGGTTCTTTTGACGACGCCGTTTCGAGCGAGAGTGTGAAATGTAGGCGAGGGCTTCGCGGGTCTGTGGAGTTTGGGAGAGAAAGCGAGGGCGGACGGTGTCGTTCTTGGGAAGAGCTGGAGGTTGAGGCTGAGAATTCTCGCCGGAGTTTCCATGGCGCAAATGAAAAATTTCGGTTGGGAGTTGGTTGAGTTGCAGACGAAGAAGAAGCACGACTGTCGGTGATCGCCTGGAGATTATTGAAAAGAACGACGTCGTTGACCCAGGAAGAAAAACGATCGACCGTTTAATCACGCGAGCTGGCGTCCTCCAGTGCTCCACAACGCAAAACGTACACCAACCAGAGCGATGCAAAAGCTCAAAACTTTACAAATTACAGCTCAAATTTGAGAGGTTTTCACAGCCACTGAAATGTCGTCGTCCGTACTAATTCATGAAAGCAGGTTCTTTGGCCCCACAAGACCGTATAATTGCCACAATAATTTCAATCACTCTACCTTTGCATTTAATTCAAACAAGTTTCGATTTTGCAGACGTGGGTTAAAATAGTTGTTCGGTAAGTCAGCCTCGTGCACCCGAGTTTTAGGGGGTTCTGGTCGTAAATTAGAGAAGTTTAGAATTTTGAGTTCTCGAAAATAAGAAGTTCGAAATTTCTTTTTCTGGGTACTGTACTGACCACTGAATGTTGTTTGCACTTGGAAGGAAGCAAATGTGGAATGAGCAGGAGGGGTATTGCTTTTGCAGGAGTTGCAGCTGCAGGAATCCCAGTCATGGGTTCTTCTTTGGCCGCTCAGCCAGTTCAAGGTTAATCTCTTTACTTACCATCTTAGTTCATGTTTTCCTTGCAATATTTCCCGCTTTTAGGCAAAAGGGTTTTGGATTAGGTGTTGAAAGACTGGAATTTAACCCGGAGGGGCACAATTTTTGGACATGGAGGGCCTCCGGTTTGCTGCTTTGTGCCCACCACCTTCTGTTTTTCCCTTCAGTTTCATATGTTTACATTTACTTGTGGTCGTTTGCAAATTCCTCTAAGCTCCATCCACCGTGTGGGGAGTTGGTGTTCAGCCTATAAACGGAGAGTGAGAGCTTTAAGATTAAGAATCAGATCAAATACAAAATTTCAAGAAACCGAGGGAGCTTTCCTTTTTGTTTCTTTGCTTTTGTGATTAGAACCCAGTTGTTGTCAACATGTCTTAAGTTGCAGGAGGTTTGGATTTCTTTTAACCGTGTGATTTTACGTGCATACTTTAAAGCCGATAAGTTTTTGTTTTCTTCCCATGTTACAGGTACAATATTCCAGAGTTGGCCAAAAAATATAAGGTTTGTGCGATAGACTTGCTGGGGTTCGGATGGAGTGAGAAAGCACTTGTTGACTATGATGCATTGGTTTGGAGAGATCAGGTGGTGGATTTCTTGAAGGAGATTGTGAAAGAACCGACAGTTTTAGTCGGAAACACTTAATCTGAACTTTGATTGGTTACATACTGCATCTTCAATAATTCATCTGTACTCGTGAATGCGGATGATTGTGTTTTTGAACCATCAAGTAATGTTTTCTAAATTTACGGGCATAAAACTTGATCGAGGTTTTCCTAACTTTTCTGATTAAGAAGGGTAATTTGCCTTGAGTTCATTATTGCAAAGGGAAAGTGTGTGTATCTCATGTTTTCTTTTGAGATGACTTTTGAGATGATGATTATATGGCTCACCGTAAATTTTCAGCCTTGGAGGTTTTACTACTTTGGTTGCAGCTGCTGGGTTGCCCGAGCAAGTAGTTGGAGTTGCACTCCTGAATTCTGCAGGACAGTTTGGAAATCCTAACAGTGAGGCCGAGGAGTCTTGGGAGGAAACAGCCCTGCAGAAGTTCATCCTAAAGCCCCTGAAGGAAGTTTTCCAGCGGGTGGTGCTTGGATTTTTTTTCTGGCAAGCAAAGCAACCAGCACATGTTGAATCCGTCTTAAAGAGTGCAAGTCACTTTCTAGTTTCTAAGCTTTTCCATGAAGTCTGAGCGTAATGTCAACCTTAGTATAAACAATAAACGGATAGGAAATTTTACCCTTATTGAAACTTATCTCGCAGATAGGACGCCACCTTCATCCCAACGCCCAACGCCCAACGCCCAATGCCCCATGATGTTCCAATCACTATACAAAGCCTCCCAAATTCGTAACAAAGTTTTATTACGATGTGTTTTAAATACTTATTTTTGCCAACACAGGTGTATAAAAACACTGCCAATGCGGATGACTATCTGGTGGAGTCCATAATAATGCCAGCAGCTGACCCGAACGCTGGAGAAGTCTATTACAGGTATGTGTAGATCTGTTCTGAAATAAAGGTCCCCTGAATGCGGATGACAAGACTAGTGATATCTTGAAGATTTGGTCATGAAAATTGATGTCTGATTGTGCATGTATGATGTTTTCTTGATTGTTTTGCACAGATTGATGACCGGGTTTATGACAAACCAGACCAAGTATACTCTTGACAGTGTCTTAAGCAAGATGTTTTGTCCGCTGTTGTTGGTCTGGGGGGACCTGGATCCGTGGGTAGGTCCTGCCGAGGCTAACACCATCAGAGCATTTTATCCAAATACAACTTTGGTAAGTCTGCAGGACGGGCACTGCCCACACGATGAAGTTCCAGAGCTTGTCAAATCGGCTTTATTAGATTGGTTATCAACTTCGCCACTCAAAACTTCTCTCCAAACAGTCCGAACGGATAGAAGTATGTAGCACCACCCTTCATGTTTGATTCAAGGATTTTACTTTGCGAATGTAAAATTGTAAATTTGATTATCAATTACTTCTTGAGGTTAGCTTTCCTCTGTGTATATGTCTCCATTTCTGAGCTTTTTATGTTCGCGGAAGAGTTTCTTCGTTGCAGAAAAGAGTTTTAAAGCTTCTTTTGGTGGAAGAGTTAAACAGGGAGAGAGTGATGGGTGAGTTTTGTGCATTTCTTGAGCTACAAGTAAGAAGCTTTTTATCTGCTTCAACCTAGAGTACGAGAAACCAGAAAATACATTGACTTGTAGCTCAAGAAAATACATTGACGTAACAAATGTATATTGATTAACTTTATATCTTGAAAGTATAAACTTTTCGTCCATTCATTCTATAACCCGTCCATGACAGTGTTATCGACTTATCGTTCATTTAGTAGGAGACAAAGCGACAACTTGTTACGCAGATGAGATTCCTAAGACTTCAAACGGCCCGTTGCCGGTAGGCTGCAACCTTATATTCCCATAAAAACAAACAAGACAAAGACAAAAACATGAGCTTAGAAATTTCAGAAACACTAGGTGTACTTTTTTTTTTTTTATTACAACTGTAAACTTGGACACTCACAGCATAAACATCGACATAGTTAACATCATCAATGACTTCTGTTCAACTTCTTTGTAAGCATCGGATCCACAGGTTTTAAGCATTCCCTCCTCAGATTCCTAAGATACCCTTTTGTTTGTTCTTCCCATTGTCTCCTTTCGTTATTAAGTTTATGTTTTTCGCTTCTCGAATTTCTTGTGCTTCTGAATCAACCCTTTGACTCCGGCCTTGTGTTCAATTGGGTTTTGTTGTAAGCTCTCGGTGCTCAATTTGGCGGTCATTTGGGGGGCTTAGCTGGTGATCAGAGTTGTTTTCCCTGTCATTGATGCCGCACTTGCCAAGCCTGACCACTTCATTGGCAAGTTGAGAAACCTTGCAAGGCTTACAAGGATTTGAGTCACTTTCTAATTGTTGCCTCAATTTGGTTAGTTAAAAATGGAGAATAATTGGTCAAGACACAGGAGGAATTCTCTGACGCCGGTGAAGCAAAGGAGGAGTGGATATGAGCCATCTGATGCCGAGACAGACATCCTAGATAGCCCGTGGCATGACGGAAACAAATGGCCTAATGGAGGATATGAATCTGAAGGGGCAAAACCAGAGTTGGATTTGGGAAGAAAGATCAGCCCTTTGAGGCAGAGCAGGAGAAACTCTTCCTGGATTGAATACGACGGCCCTACTCCAAGAACTACCTCCGTGGTAAGCCCAGTTCGAAGAAGAACCAGCAGCAAGTCGCCCTACAAGCCTGGAAGAGGTGACAGCAATGCTCGAACTTTGCCAATGGCGGGTTCTGATATTCGTAGGAACATCAGCCCCTTGGGAAAATCCGAGCGCAGGAGACATGTTTCACCTTTTCAAGCAGGCCAAGAAGAGCCCGATTTGAACAACAATGGTGATCAGATTGTAGACTCAAACAGAAACCAACATCATCAAAGAATGAACAGCAGAAGATCAGCAGCTGCTCTGCGGCATAGATCACCGAGAGAAACTGACCAGCAAAGCAATCGTTCAATCACACCTACGAAAGGGGAGAGAACACCCTCACCATTGTCCAAAAGCATGGCTCATCAGAAGCAAAGGCAAGTGAGCACGCCATTCGTCAGCGAAATCAATGAACTGCTTGCTCATGCAAAGCTTGGTAGAACTTCTCCAGATCCCATCTTGAATAACGAAGCTGCTCCGATTTACGAAACCTCAGTTTCTATTGCACCAGGTGACATCTTTTTCTCTGGAGAATGCAATGTCGTGGCATTACCTCAAAATCACTTACAAAAACCGAAAATGGTTTCCTCTGCCGCCTCACAACAGAGAAGTACTAATCGATCAAATGGTAACCTCGGTCACGATGTCAATGCCCACGGACTTTCATCTCTGTATGGTTTGTCGCAGACAACCACCACCACTTCCAGCTCTGCGGTGAGCAGGCAGAGCAGCAGGAGGCTGAGCATGGCTAGCAGCAAGAGGAGTGATGCAAGCAGTACAACAACCGCCAGCATGAGGAAGTTCACGGATAATAGGAGGAAGAGCGAAAGTCAGGCATGGTTTTCGTGTATGAGAAAGAGTTCTTGCAAGAACAAAAAATTATCACCTGAGCGTAGCACGTTCAATGAAGCTGCATTCATTGAGAAGGCGTTCGTGGTAGAGAGTCTCAGGCAGTTGTGGGCTGATAAGCATAGACCTACTTCGTTGAATGGATTCACTTGCCACAAACAAGAAGCTCAAGTTCTCAAGCAACTTGTGAGTAATTTTCTCATACATTGTAAATCGTTATCTGGGAACCAGTTCCATTTGTGCGTATTTCTTCCGTTTGCTCATGCTCCGTTGAATATGTAGGTGATTGATAACGTCAGTCCACATATTTTGTTTACCGGACCAACTGGTTCTGGGAAGAAAGCTCTAACAATGGCGTATCTACGAGAAATTTACGGTGATGCGAGTTGGGAAGTACGTTTGTTTTCATCAGAGTCAACAAAGTTCAAATCTTTTTCCATGTAAATTGACTGAACTGATCATCTTTCCCTTTTGTTTCCTCCCTGCAGATATCTCATGATTTGAGGTGCTTCCAGGTTCAGGTATTCTCTTGTGAAATAGACATTTGAGATAGAAATAATGCCTCACATATTGTGAAATAATGTTCTTACAGTAACAGAGTCGTTCCTCCTTACCTTAAAATCACACGCTAACACATATGCGTAAATAACTTATCAAACTCAATAAAGTTTATGTGCACATGTCAAACTGTGATTTATCTGTACTGGACGAGCGTTTTCAAATTTCTCTTTCATGACCCAATACTAACAGGAACAAGGGACAACGCAACTGGTGGTTCCATTGACATCCAGCCCTCACCATGTGGAGCTCAATGTACAGTTGGAACCAAATGCCAGATATGCCCTAATGGGTTTGGTCAGAGAAATAAACAATGACAATGAACTTGCTCCTGAAGTCAGCTCTATAAATTTAAAGGCAAATCATAAAGGTCAAAATTCTCTCAACACACCCAGAAATCCCATCTGCACACTTTTGACCTATTTCTCTCAAAACCCTAACATGGTTGTCTTCTCCTTCCTTTTTATATACCAGTGATGGTTCTTTATGGTGTTGACAAAGCAGAGCACATTCAGCACTTGATCAAATGGATCATGGACTGTTACTCGGATGCATGTAAGCTCATACTTTGCTGTGAAAATGACTCCGGCGTCATTGAATCGGTGAAAAACCGGTGCAAAGTCATCAAGGTTGATGCTCCTGTGACTCACGAAGTAAGTATTACATTGGGTTTTAGGGTTCCCAAAATGCTCTTTTGACCTTTGATTATGCATTAAGTTTTTCTCCTTTTTAATACAAGCGATATTATACCTTAACTAATCTAAATTGCGGAGGGGGGATTAGAACTCGGGTTAGGTGCGAGTTAGTGGGGATTAAAATAAAAGTATATCCCTTTCGGACCCTATTTTGTGTAACCTCAATTTCAAATTTTACTAATTTGAAATAATCTATCTCATTCAAATTTCGCATTGAGCTTTTGATATATGTGTCCCATTACTAATCCGAGAAGAGAAGGGGGGGGGGGGGGGGGGGGTGGGATCTTTCTGGCCAATGTGGCTACGCCCACGTTCGCTTATAGTTTACTTTTCTCTTTGCCAGATCATGGAAGTTCTTATTCAGATAGCCATGAAGGAGGAATTTGACCTACCTATGAGCTTTGCCAATAAGATTGCAAATAAATCAAAGCAGAATTTGAGAAAAGCAATCATGGGTCTTGAAGCATGCAAAGCACATAAGTGAGAACATATTGCAAATAAATTGTTGGAAATTTTGACTTTGTTGTTGTAAAGTCAACTTACATGGAGCTTTGCCAATGCAGCTATCCTTTTGGAGAAGAACAACCAATTCCACTTGGATGGGAAGAGGTGGTGCAAGAACTTGCTTCCGAAATCCTAGCTGATCCGTCTCCTAAGAGGTAATCATTTCACTGGCATCCGTTGAATGATGTGAATCTCACAATCATTGACGGATGCGAAACCCACGAGGGATTTCACATCTAACTCAGTTACACCGTACATCTAACAGCATCCCGCAATGTTTGAATTGATTTTCCGTATTAATCTTGTGTCAGACTATTTTTCATCCGGGGAAAGTTTCAAAAACTTCTTATAGATTTTGTACATCCGAAACTGATTCTACTGGTACTGTATCGATCCCTCAAACTTCTTGTTCGTATATACATAGTCACCAAAGTATAATTTTGTGAGAGTTTTCATTTTCCGAAATGCAGAAGCTTGTGGAACAGTTCCTAAAGGGAGTAGACGCTAGTTCAAAGAGGGAACTCTATTACTGGCATGCTTATTATGTAAGTTCTCTACCTCATCCCCTCTTTCGGCTCTCGGAGAAGATGAACTGACTCAAATGTTTCTCCTTGCAGGAGAAAAGACTCCCAGCAGGAGCGAGTGCGTTACTGAAACTAGAAGGTAACATATGCAAGCCACCAAAATCCTTCATCCAATTATATAAGGAATCAATAATTTGAGCACGAGTCCAGTTTTGTAGTAAGTTCATGTGTTAATCAAGCACTTTTTATGCAGAATTTGTGGCCAAGTTCATGAGCATATGCCGGAAGAGTTCCAACAACCGGCAGTATGTGTAGTTTATATACTCTCGTTGAGAGTTGAGAGTTGATCGTTTCTTTCCGTCTATGTATAGGGTTTTATAAAGATTGTGTCACGGCAGTCTAATACTCGGAAAAAGAGAACGAGACAGAGACAGACAGCTGAAGCTTTTTTCCTAGGGTCAAGATGATCACAAAGATTTAGATATAGCACAAAGGCATGATTCTCTTTGTTTAGACGAAAAATAAAATAAAACAAGCTTTACACATTCTTGGTTCAGTCTTTACGTATTTCTTTTAACATGAACACGAAAAACATGTGAACAATATTTTAGTATGAAAGAATGTAAACACACACATCTGAACATGGAACATCTTCTCATGCTTTACATGCAACGAATACACTGGGTTCATGCCCCCGACATGACATGTTCATGCAACATACAGACAATATAACATAGACTGCTGTTAGCTGTGTCTTCAACAATGTATATTTTAATCTGCTAGGCAATGTTTAATGAAAAACGAATGCAACTTGAACTCTGATTAGGCTATGGAAGATTAACCATTTGGGCATCCTGACAATACCTGTCATCCGCTTCTAAACTAGAGAGGCTAGCACATGTTCAAATGTACTGAGGGAACATTACCTTCAAAACAAACTTAAGATCCCAAATTTATTGTTTTGCTTTCACTCAAGGTTCTACAAATCGTCAGCATTTCATTTCAGATTTGTAGAAAAGCCGCTCCCATTCAGACTACTTCTTTCCAGTGTATCGCTGCAAGAACAAATGGGGACAGCATAATAATTAGTTTCCGATCATGGTAAGGAATGACTCACTGCGTACATATGAGGGCCAACCAAAAAGATGGGGTGAAGGAATGAGAATATATTTACTCACCCTCTTTCCGATATCAAATGGAACATATTTGTATTTGATCATGTGTAGGATCTGCCTTTTCATTGTGAGGACAAACAGAACAATCCAGTAGCATAGCAGTATTGGCCAGAAAACAGGTACGTCCAGCAGAGAAATAAAGGTCATGATAAATGCAATAACGAATGCCTTTGTGATGGAATACCTAAAAAACATTGAACACGTTCATTTTCCATGATAATAAAAACGTCGTAAACAACATCCTTGTAGAACTCCCCGAGATTTTACAGCAAGTGTGATATTAAGAATTAGAGACTATTCAACTTCATTGCTGCTTTTCATTTTGTGAGGTGAGCCAGTTTAATAATGAAACTAGGTATTCAACCAGTCGGCTGGTAATTCACGTATTGATTTATGCTAACTGACACTCCATGGGATAAACATCCTGTTGACTCAGTCACTCAAGGAATTTAATAACACATATAACCTGATGCCTATAACTCTATAAGCCGTACCGACGCTTCGACTGCAAAACCATCCTTCAGTAGTTAAGAATTACTCCCGACACTATTCAAAAACAGTTTTCTACCATTACAGTAAAACCCATGAAAACCCTTCTGTAAAGAGGGAAATATATTGTTTTCATACATTTCTATGTAAGTTGAACCAAATACACAGGAAAAATAGCACACAGATATGGCATAATTAGAAGACACTTGAAGCATTTATTACTACTACAAGATACATTCACACATCCTTTAACATTCCCAACAAATGGAAAGGGGGGTTTCCATCAAAATGAAGAAAACCCCGAACATAAGAAATCACACCGGACCACACAATACTATTGTTTAGATACCATCACTGCATATATGAAGCAAAAGAATAAATGAAACTTACCAGAACTTAAACTCGGGAAGGCGGCGAACAAAAGGCTTAAACTCATCAGAACCACTTGTTGGCAATGAAGCCCCATCCAAGGCCTCAAGCTCCGGGTCAACCTTGGGCGAGAAGAAGCCAATCAAGAGATTCAAAACGTAGATCCCCAGACCATAGGAGACAACATAGAACCCCTGAACATAGTACACACGCAGAATGTAAATCATAGCCAAAACTAGGGTTCCTAGCCATCTATTCACAGTGTGAGGCGTTGACCGATCCAAATAGTACTGGAATGCTCTCGCAAAATTGCTCCGCCATTGGGCCAGTGGCGCCGCCGCTGCTCCGCCCTCACTTCCAATTCCCTCCATCAAATTCGGATTCTACCAAAAAATTGCAACAAAAATTACTCTCTTTTTCATTTTTTGGAAACTAACCTAACTAATCAAGCTACCTACTTTGTTTGCTCAACATAGAATAGCATAACTGAGAAAAAAAATGTATGAATCGAAAATTTTCTATGCCATTTTCTCAGGAAACAAACAGGGGGATACTGATTATTCTTGTGCATAAATGAGCGAACAAATTAAATTAATTAACTGCGGACTAAGATAAATCGAGCACAAATGAATGTAGGATCTTCGAGAGAGGAAATTACCAGGCAATTGAGTTAGGGTTTCGATGAAGCGGACGAAACGAGAAAGACGATGAATTTACGACTGCTGCCACTCCGCGATTGGCTCTCGTGGTCTCTTTTAGTTCATAAAGATCTGGGAGGTCGATCTTACCTAATAACGGGCCGGGTCAAACAAGCCCAATTTAACCCAATGAGGCCCAGGCTCACGTAATAGGGCTTTCAAAATAATGAAAATTCATCTTTTTTACCTTTCTTTCAAACGTATTTTGCAAGGCGAATTTGAACACTAGAATTTGAGTAAAGGAGTAAACGCTCTAAAAGTTTGAGCTACAAACACTTTACGAAAATATTGAATTCATTTACACTAAACATTTAGCGTCATAGTAATTAAGGATAAGAATACAAACGAGTGTCGTAAATAAATGCTCTTCCAATAGTGGCGGATCTAGGAAATGTTTGTGTTGGGAGGCAAGATGTAGCCCAAGTTCACACCATTTTATCCTCCATACTCTACTGTAATCTTCTTAGGACTTTTGATAAACAAGTTGGCCCTATAACAGCCATAAAAGCTCATCATCAAGAGCGAAAATGCACAAGTAAATATAGTATTATTCACTCGCTCTTATGTAGATCCGTCAACGCAACTAACCTAATTCCTTTTTTAACATTTTTATGGTCATGCCAAAAACAATTTGTTTTATGGGTTTCAACCACATGCTTTTGAACCAGTGTCATTACAATAATAATTTGACTGATTTGATGTCACCAATCTTCGTAGCATGGCAGCCGCTCGAAAGGGGTAGAAGAGGAATATACCGATGCAAATTGGAGGGTTGAAAATATGAAATTATAAAACTGAGAATATTCCCAGTTTATGAATTAGAGCAAACTTTTAGTAAGAATGTTTTATTTAGTGAGATCAGCGTAAAGTTGAGAGTAACAAAAATATAAAATATTATGTTTCGTGCGATACATGTTCAGACACTCATAGACGAAGGACAAGAGCAAATAATCAAAAATTGATTGAAAGTGGAAGACGGGAATATATTAAAACATTTCAATTTTTGTTAAATTTGTGCGTTACTTTTATTAATTCAATTTAAATTATAATAAACGACGGAAATGATATTCAAACTTGACTGCTAAAGAAAGACCACACTACCTTACTGTTAACTAACTTTCATGCATACATACTATATGAAGATACAAATTCAAACTTCAAATACAAAAAGAAAAACGCACTACTTTAACTAATGATTCTAGCTTACAATTTACACGCACGTGGATTAACAATTTGAACATGGACAGGCAAAGTCCCCAAAAGTTGCAAACTTTATCGAAAGAATAGTATACGTATCACTCTATTATTCGCTTGGTATACGTGTCACTCTATAATTGGCTCCTCACTTCTCGTCCTAATCACCGGTATGAGAAAATGCTAATACTTTGCGGCAAAGTTGCTGACTTGGGAACTAATTTCCTGACGCGTAACCGAAATATCAGCCGTCTGATTGACTCCAATACAATCCAACGGCTCCCATTGACATTCTGACTGACCGCTGCAAGAAGTTGACAAAAAGCGTCTTCGTCCCTCCTCCCTATAAATTAAGCTCACGGCTCTCACAGTCCTTTTCCATTTTTCTCACACAAATTTTAGAATCCATTTTTTCAGCTGCTCTTCAACTGTAAGTTCTTCTCCTCCCTTCTTCAATGGCCTCTGCGATGGCTGACTTCGTCTCCTCTCTCTCTCTCTCTGTCTTCGATTAACGGTTTAGTTTATGGATTGTATGCTATATTTGGTGTTAAACTGAAGAAAATTAGATGAAGATTCTTGATTACCTGCTTGATTTATTTTGATGGGTTTTGGATTTGAAACTGTAATTGTTGACATGTGGGTTTCTTTCTCTGGGTCTGTTTTGAGCGTGCAATTTGCATGAACACTTCAATTTCTTGGTTCTTTGGTTAATCGTGATGATCATCGTGTAATTGTTGTGCGTTTTTTATTCGATTTCTTTCGTTTATGTGACTTTAATCGGAGGTAATCTGTTGCATGCGATGAGTATATTATTTGAGTGAAAATTTTCAATCCCATCATTTATAGAGGAAATCTTCAATTTTGGCTTGTTTTCCAGTAAAAAGCGAGCAGTCTTTTTTATATTTGTTCATGTTTTTATATTGAATTATGTGTAGTTGCCCCCTTGATGTTGACAGAAAACCCATTTGTGTTATTAACAGATCATATTTCTGCCCTTATTAGTCCTTTGCCATGTTTTCGACTTGGTGAAATTAACTGTGTTTGTGTAATTGGTTAGTGGGTGAAATATGATTATGTTGTTCTTTTCTTCTTTCTGTTTTCAAGGTTAGTGGACAGGGTGAACATGGCTAACAATGATGGAGAAGGGAGTGGAAAGAATTCGGGGCCATCTCACGTTAAACTCAATGAAAGAATCCTTTCTTCAATGTCAAGAAGATCGGTTGCTGCTCATCCCTGGCATGACGTAGAGATTGGTAAAATTTGTTGGCTTTTTGACATTTAATCTTAAAATTCTCTCTAATTTTGATCGCCTGAGCATTTCCTTAAGTCAGCAAATTTACTTGGACTCTCGTGTAACACCACGTGACAAAGTGATGTGCCATGTGTTAGGTGTTTAGTGTGTGTGGAGTGGTAGTAGCAGAGAGTGAGGTGAGGATATGTGCATTGTGCATGAATGTAAGCAGCTAAGAGAAGCTTAGATTCGGTTGTGTGTGAGTATTGCACTTCAGTGTGTTGTGCATGAGATACTGTTATTCAAGAGTTCCATATAAAATTTGACATATATGTTACATGTTTGGTTAATAATGCTTGATGTTTTGGTCTATGCAGGACCTGGTGCACCAGCAGTTTTCAACTGTGTGAGTCATCGTTTCTAACTTTCTATTAGTCTTTTTATTGTTCTGATCTTTTAGTCAAGGACCCCTTAACAAATCCAACATGTAAGCCATGGATGTGTAGCATGTGAATTGCCGTGCATGAGACCTTTTAGAATAGATTGTGTAATGCTTCTATCAGTGGATGACGACTTGCATAATCTTCCCCACTTATTTAAACGTAAATGAAAAAAGTTGTATATTTAGCTCAAGATTCTGTTACAACACTTGCGTACGAATCTAAATGATAATTTCTGGGGCAGGTTGTTGAAATTAGCAAAGGCAGCAAGGTTAAGTATGAGCTCGACAAGACAACTGGCCTTATAGTAGTAAGACACTTCCTCTTCTTTCCTAAATGATAATCTGTTGCCAATTTAGTGAACCATGCTTATTCACTACAGTTGTAGAAATTTAAACAAGGGCTCTATATATTTACTGTTGGTTCGTTTACATTGGTATCAGTGTTTGCTAGGGTATTGGCATCTAGTGTGAAACTGATGCCTTTCATGGAGGATACTAATGCATGAGGCTCTTTAACGTAGGTTGACCGTGTGCTTTACTCATCGGTTGTTTACCCGCACAACTATGGTTTCATCCCACGAACAATCTGTGAGGATAGTGATCCAATGGATGTCCTAGTACTGATGCAGGTAATGTCATTTGGACGCATAATCCTCTCCACAATGATATAACAGCTGATTTTGTATATATGACTGAACTTGTTAATGACCATTTAGGAGCCCGTGATACCTGGTTCTTTCCTTCGTGCTCGCGCTATTGGATTAATGCCCATGATTGATCAAGTAAGAAAGCCTTTTTCTATCTCATGTTTGACTAGAATAGTGGAGCATGAATTATTGAACCTTTGGGAATAGATATGATCTTGACATCAATCTTGAGGGGAATTCAGGGTTTAAATCTAGATCAATGTGTTTAAAGTTTTTAATGTAACAAGCGAAGGAAGTTTTGTTTATTTTACTGCTGTTTTCATTTGGCAATCAGAATCTTGTAATTTATTCTCCGTATAGTTTCCTCTCATAGCGAGTACATCCAGAAGTGAGTGTAGCTATCGATAACATGAGTTCTATTGCAGGGTGAAAAGGATGACAAGATTATTGCAGTATGTGCTGATGACCCTGAGTTCCGCCATATCACTGACCTCAAGGAGCTTCCTCCACATCGCCTTGCAGAAATTCGTCGGTTCTTTGAGGACTGTATCCTATTATCACATTGCTTGCACTCCCTTAAATTGAAGCAGTTGGGAGTTTTGGGACTCCACAGTTATGAATTACCTTAACTAGATACTTAATCTATTAAAAAACTTCGTCTCTTTGCAATATGAACTGGTTTTTGCTGTATGCCCTTAACTCTTATGTCACGATAGACAAAAAGAACGAGAACAAGGAAGTTGAGGTTGAAGACTTTCTACCGGCTGAGGCTGCCATCGAGGCCATCAGACACTCCATGTGAGATAAACTTTAGTTCCTCTCTTTTCAGTCGCCTATGATTATTGCAAATAGAACGTAAACATGTCATTGCTATTGTTTTCTTAAAATGATGTCTTGTGTTGCAGGAACCTGTATGCATCTTACATCGTGGAGAGCTTGAGGCAGTAGGCTAACCTGGACGCTTTGTAATTAGCGAAATGGCTGGAGCGATTTAGTAATACCTGAAAACTATCACTCTATTTCAATGGGTTTGAATTGGTGGGTTCTTATGTTGTACTTTTGATCGTACGTCTCTTCTACGTGTTGAATAATGTTTTGTGGATGGTTAGATAGGTTTCCATTCGTGAGAAAACCGCGAATGAATGCTGTTTTAACCCAGGAGAAAGATATTGAAGGGTTCAAATAATTTCATGCAACTTCGGATGCAAAGTTTAACATCTCCAAGTGATTGCATCTAAAAATTTGAGTTGTGTTTACAATGTTTTACCGTGTTTTAAGTAGACGAAAACAAAAGAAAACGTTTTGGTATTCTAGTACAAAACCAAGAGAGCTGAAAATCTATTAAGTATTGGTAACTTGGACATGTATTTATTGCTCGTGAACCTGGGTCCCGAGCACCTGGGTATCCGAGTATGGATCCCGATCTAGGTTCCGAGCACCTGGGTCACGAGCCTTGACCCTCGATCGGGATCCATGCTTGAATACCCGGCCCGACTGTTGTCAACACAGGCATGAGTATTTTTCCGATTTCTCTCTTGAACATGTACCGTACTACGGTCTTTTGTCCTTTAAACTTTTATTTCTGGAAAGTTCCGTCATTAACTAATATAAAGATCTCATTTTCCCCTGTTACATGTTTACTCACATTCTGTTTAATTTTTCGTCCAAAACCCCAAAGCGTTGGTCTTAGAAAGCGAGCAAAGAGTTGGAGCCTCTAATTCAAGTTCGAACTTCTACACATATATTCTTTGGGGCCATCGGTTTTTGTTTTGATATAACGTTTGATCTTTTGTTTTTTTTTGGTTGGGGGGGGGGGGGGTGTTGGGGGAGGGTTCAAAAGTACGCTATCTTGGGGGAGGGTTCAAAAGTACGCTATCGTCTCATGTGATAGTAAGAGAATATGAATTAGGAAAATTTTATTTAAACCCATATAACCTATTTATACACCCAACTTAAATTTTAAATGTGAATTATATTTTTTACCCTATTGCATAATTACCATAAAATACAAGATGAAATTAACAATAAAATTAAATTTTATTAATAAACCCACTCAATAATCAAACTCTACAATCACATCAAACCTTACGATCACACGATATTTATCTTACATTCATTCTAGCTAAACCCTTAAAACGCTCTCATAGAGAAAAATATGCTCTTCTTGACCAATAGATGATGATTTTGAAGTTTTGAATCCTCCAACTACGGTATAAATCGATTTATGCAAGTTTCTTTTCATTTGATTTCAAATTTTTTAGGATTTAGAAACAAAATTAACGCCTTTTCTATTACACTTGCCTAGAAACTAAATCTAAGTTTAGGTCCGTAACAATAAATGTTCAATTTATAGCCTACACTAGAGATGTAATTTTCTTGGCTTTTGGCTGACAACTACAACATGTAATATCCAAAGCCTTCTACTTGTTTATGTGAAAGCAGTTAATCTTCTGGGCAAGTAAGATGCGAAAATTGACTAAAACATTGACACACAACAAACTATTTTTAGGATTTCTAAACTACACGTTGTCTATTTTATATAACTTAACCATTGAATATAATTTATACCTAGCTCTAATTAATTAAGCTTGAACTTGACAAATGCAAGAGCAAGGATCAAATATTAGCACCGAGATGACATAATTATTTGAACTCAACTTAATTGTATATCAGAGTGACGAGTACTGCACCATTTCTAGTACCCACTAGGGCCTATTAGAGTGGCAAATATGCAGCAAAGATTAAGTATGAGACAAATAGGTAAGAGATATTACTCTCTTTACACCTTGAACGATTCTAGAATATTGATTTCGGGTTTTTATTTTCTAAATGGCTGTAAAGATAAATTTAGATATTGAAGTGCCTTTATGAGGGTAATTTAGGTAGTAAATTTAGGTTTAAAGTGATATTAATAGTTTGATTAAAAGTAATATGGGTTTAGAGAATATGTTGGGTGTAAAAAGAGGTTACATGAGTTCAAATAAAATTTCCTATAAATTATTTTATCACTGGTTTTTCGTTGGATACCTCTTATGTAAAAAATAAATAAATAAAAAACAAGTTCAAGGGAAACGGACAAAAGGATACGTATTATACTTTTAACTGAAAGATCACATACGATACAGTAGGGAAGACGTAGACAATAACGAACAAAACAAGATCCATGTAGGCAGCGAAACGGTGCGCATTGGTTCCGAGGTAGTTAGCGAGTCCAGCAACCCCAATGCCCGCTAACATTTCCAAACCATTTGTCAGCAGCAGCGCTCTCCTCCTCAAACTTCTCAAACTCTCAATGCCTTGCTCCGCCACTCACAGCTGAGACCGCGACTGACACCGATACGCGCCGCTGCATACACCTTCCCCCTGAAAACTCACGCTTTACGAAACCCTCCAATCTCCGACGACGATGGGGACCCTGGGCAGAGCAGTCTACACCGTTGGATTCTGGATCCGCGAGACCGGCCAAGCCATTGACCGCCTCGGTTCCCGCCTCCAAGGCAACTACTACTTCCAAGAACAGCGTACGCCCCGAATTCTTCTCCTTTGTCTCTCAATTTCTTCAAACCCTAAGTCACGCAGATTACTCATTCCTGATTCTGTGGCTTTGTTTATGGAATATTGAATCGAATTTTGAGACCTGCAGAGGTTGGATTTTGCTTGATTGTGTTGTGATTGTTTTGATCAGTGTCGCGGCATCGAACGCTGATGAACGTGTTCGACAAAGCTCCGGTGGTCGATAAGGAGGCGTTTGTGGCGCCCAGTGCATCGATCATAGGCCAAGTTCAGGTGGGCCGAGGTTCCTCCATTTGGTACGGTTGCGTTTTGAGAGGTCAGCATTTCTGTGAATTTGATCATTATATTTTGGTTGTTAGCAAAGTTGATTAAGATAATTTTAACTCCTAAAGTAGGATAATTTTGTTTTGAGAATCTAGTTATGTGAAAAATTAGGCCAATTTGTTGTTGCAATTACAAGTGTAATCACGAACTTTGATTTATTTACTCCGATTGTTGTTTTCGGGTGTGAAGGCGATGTTAACAGCATCAGCATTGGGTCTGGGACCAACATTCAAGACAATTCCCTTGTTCATGTGGCAAAATCTAACTTGAGTGGCAAGGTTTTGCCTACCATTATCGGAGACAATGTCACTGTAGGTGAGTTACATGTGATTGTGTTTCCGGTGATGTGGTTGCTGCTTTAGGATCTGATGCTGGGGTTGTGGTTTTTTATTTCAACCGTGCAGGCCACAGTGCTGTCTTGCATGGATGTACTGTGGAGGATGAGGCATTTGTAGGCATGGCTGCAACCTTGCTCGATGGGGTTTATGTCGAGAAACACGCCATGGTTGCTGCCGGAGCTCTTGTAAGGCAGAACACAAGGATCCCCTGTGGAGAGGTATGTCAAAACTCCCTTTATTGGCATGGAATGTGACAATTCCGTATCGAGTTAAACTAGTTTCTTGATTTCACAAACACTTGGTACAAAGTTCATGTGGGAAGTTATCAAGTGACTCAATGTGAGCTGCCAACTTTTAAACTGAATGGGGCTCTTTTTGTTAATCATTTTTAACGACCAACCTGAAATTTTCAAACTGGTTGTTTACTGAATGTTTAATAACAGGTATGGGGAGGGAATCCAGCAAAGTTCCTGAGGAAGCTCACAGAAGATGAGATGGCCTTCATCTCCCAGTCAGCCTTAAACTATTCCAACTTGGCTCAGGTTCATGCAGCTGAGAATGCAAAGCCCCTCGATGAGATAGAGTTTGAGAAGGCGCTGCGAAAGAAGTTTGGACGCCATGATGAGGAATATGACTCTATGTTGGGTGTCACTCGTGAGACACCGGCAGAGATTACTCTTCCTGATAACGTATTGCCACCTAAGTCTGCTTAAGCAAGTACGACTATTAATGATGTTGGTAAGGGTACCACCTCTTGAGATTTAGTGTAAGTGAGTGTTTTGTTTATGTGCGGATTTATGGCGAATGGCTGCTTTACATTTCGAATAATTTTTGGGGTCGGCTGAAGTGTGAAGGTCAAAACATGAAGAATATCTCTAGCATATGGCTCTGCCCGTCCTTTCTGATTGATCAGCAACTTTCTCTTCTGTTTTTGAGAAGAAAAAGAAAACTGCTGTAATGGAACGTTTCGATATTCTTAATGAAGTGCTACAATTTACACTAAATTGGTCCTCGGTTTTAGTTTCTCCATTTTCTTGTTGCTTGTATCTTTCTTTGGTTCTACATTTTGGTTAGTCTACTAGCCATGTTCTGTTTTTTGCGCTTTCCTTTTTTGTTCATCAATTTTACGTCGTGAAAAAATGCATCGAGTTTCAGCCTCAAAATTCGGTATCTAAAATCTTTTGTTGGATCGACCCCTCGAGTTTTGATGTTAGTTGTGACCTAGTTTGAGCCCTGTGACTTTCAAACTGGCCTCGGGACGTCAGGGTTGAAGAGGAAAATCCTGACCACCAAGACAATTCATCACTTACCATTTCTAAGTTTCATGTAGACTAAAATTGGTCTGCCCTGAAAACAGTGCAATTCTCGCTCGTAGTTCACATGGAAGGAGTTTCATGTAAGCTAAACCCGCAACGGACAATTTTCCACCATATGGGCTCTCTTCTGCCGCGTTCTTTGCGCGAAATCCGACCTCAATGCTTACACTTTCACTCCGGTACTGAGCGCCTGCAGGGCGCTGCCCCTCCCCGAACGAGGCAGGCAAGTCCGCAGTTTAATGACCAAAACTGGCGCCGAGTCAGGAACTGTGGCTAAGACAGCCATCTTGGACTTGTACTCCAAGTACGGGTTTCTGGAGGACTCTGTCAGAGCATTTGAAGAGATGGAGTTCAAGGATGTTGTGACTTGGAACGCGTTGTTTTCGAGCTTTTTAAGGCGCGGGCTTGCCCGAGAAGCAGTTGGTGTTTTTGAAGCAATGAGGAAGGAAGGAGTGGAGTTCAGCGAGTTTACTTTGTGTTCTTTGCTCAAAGCTTGCGCCTTTTCGAAGTCCTTTTGACAAGGCAAGCAGGTTCATGGGATGGTGGTTGTGATGGGACGCGATACGGTGATTTTGGGCACTGCTTTGATTGATTTCTACTCCGGCCTTAGGCATATAAGTGAAGCAATGAAAGTGTTCTCGACCTTGAATTGTCGAAAGGATGGTGTCATGTTGAATTCTCTAGTTGCCGGGTGTGTTTGAAACCAGAAGTATGAAGAGGCATTGTCGATTATGTCCACCATGAAACCGAATGTAGTTGCACCTACCAGCGCTCTTGCTGCTTGCTCTGAGAATTCAAATTTCTGAATTCGGAAGCAGATACATTGCGTGGCAAGGCATCATGGGTTCATATCCGACAACCAAATGTACAATGTTCTGCTGGACACTTAAGCAAAATGTGGGAAGATTTCTAACGCTCGATCTTTGTTTGAAAAAATTCGTAATAATGATGTGGTTTCGTGGACAAACATGATTGATGCATATGAAAGTCATGGGGATGGGGTCGAAGCTCTTGATCTGTTCATCACGATGGGGGAGGAAAGAACTGGAGTGTTGCCGAATTCTGTGATTTGTCTTGCTGTTCTCTCGGCTTGTGGGCACTTGGGGCTGGCCGAGCAAGGCCGGGAGTGTTTTAACTCTGCGACGGAGAAGTATGGTCTGGACCTGGGTCCAGAGCACTGTGTGTTTCATGGATATGTTAGGCCGTGCCAGTCAGATAGATGAAGTGTGGTGTGCGTTTGATGATACGGTTAAGCATGGCATTAGGCCTACGGCAGCAGTTTGGTCAGCACTGTTGAATGCTTGTAGGCTTGTAGCCTTAACCTGGATGTTAAAGGGTTGAGCTTGCTGCAAAGCATCTGCTGCAGTTAGAGCCAGATAAGCCCGGGAATTATGTGCTGATATCGAACTTTTGTGTTAAGGAAGTCGGAAGTAGCTGGGTTACCGATTCGCACTGCCATGAACACGCCACCAGGCTCTCCGTATGAGAAATCAATACAAGTAAGAGAACATCTTTTGTTATGGATAAGCTGGCGAAGGGCCGAACCCACCATTGTAATCTTTAAGGTAAAATTGCAGATGGCCGTCGAGCTTGCCAGTTCGAGTATTCAGTTCATCCAGAAATTTAACGCCAAAAGAAAAAACTAATGAATTGAAATTCAGGAACATTGTATTGAAATACCCTCAATTTCATAGATTACAAATTCAAGGGCAGCAATGATTTCATACACAGGAGAAACTTGCCTAATTCAACCATTTGCTGTCTTCTCTAAATGTTAACAGGTTAGAACCTCGGTTGGACATATCGAGAAATGCAGTGGAATTTCTTCATTCTGATTTAGCCTTCATGTCTACCTTGTCCTCTTGGACTGGTGGAACGACGACCCTAAATGTCCATATCGCCAGCAGAGTTGCCTCTATCGGGGCGAGCCAGTAAACCATGACATGCTCCCTTGTAAAATGGTCGCCACGAGCATAAGCCCATCCCATCACCTGCAAAAGTAAATGAGGTTCAGGTGTAGTGCATTCAAGTTACGTAAATTAAATCTCAGAAACGCCTGTAGGTACTTACAGAAGCCGGGTTCATACAACCGCCAGTCAGATCAGAGCCGAGAATATGAAGAGTTAACTTGGAAACACTCGAGATCCAAGTCTTTGTGAAGAAACTCCCCGGGATTTTTCTGGCAAGCCCAAGCGAGACAGTAACAATCGCAAATGTCAGCAACCCTTCTGTGAGTGCACCTCGATGGAGGTCAACGTTCAAGCGAGGACCATGACCTACTTCAGGAAAGGTCGCGATTATGAGCCTAACGCCAGTAATAGAGCCGATAACCTGATGAGAGGTAAACGAAGATAAATGAGTGATGTCGGAGAAACTACATGGTCATCGCTGTAAGATACACAAGTACCAAAATCGAAAGAACTAGCAAAAAATGCCATCTTCATCTGCTTAGAGAATTCACATTCGGTTCCTTCTTCGAGTCGTCGAATAAATCTGACTTAAAGAAGAAGTATCTCCCCCACTACGCCGCGACAACGGGTACTAATCCGTCATAGGGCGGCGGTGGGGGAAGGTTTAGGTAGCACAATACGACCTGCTAGGGGTGGTGATGCAGAATGAACTAGGGTATTGAAACAGGGTTACCCAAGCTTCTACGTTAAATTTGTCAAAGACAAGACAAACAAGAACTACTAAAGAACAAGAAGCTTAGAATTCAAATTTCAAACAACCTCAAAGAAACAATATAGTCTGTTCATTTATCACAGAAATAATGAAACCATTATGTCACAAATGCCCATATTAGATTTCGGTTTTTTAGCTAAAATAGTACTGAGATTTAAAATCAATAGAATTAGTCTTTGAATTTGGCCGTCATTAATCACTTTGGTTGTGAAAAAACTCCGCTAACAAGGAAAAAATGATTAAAATATACTCAAATTTTGCATGTCATTTTGGTCTATTATTTATTAGGTTGATAGTATTTTTGTTATTTGGTTCTTATTTAACATTTATTTTAGCCAAAATTGTACTCACATAACTTTTTACTTAAAATTAATCCTTAAGTAGGCCACCATCAATCATTATTTCATGAAAACTACCCCAAATTATTTTGGTGCATCGTTCATTAAAGTGATAGTTATGCTGATCTCGGGACATTTTAGATAAAAAGCTTGGAGTTTAGACATCCAATCAACCAAAAAGAAAAAGCAATCGGCTTTCCATTAAATTTTCCGTCATTTTCATCAAAATTCTCTCTCTATCAAAACAAACGACCAAACAAGTGAATGGGGGTCACCTGAGCAGGGATTCTGGCACCAACAGTGAAAAGGAAGCGGCTGAAATCCCCGGTAATTGCGCCGGACAACACGGTCAAAGGATTGTAGGTGCCACCGTTGGTAACCTTTCCCAGCAACGCGAAGAAGAACATGTTCACAATCGAAAGGGCGCACTTGATAATCTCACCGCCGGGTCCGTGACCAAACCCCAGAATGCTGAACACGTAGATCTTAATCAAAACCCCCGACCATACCCACATGAACGAGATTATCAAATCCGAAGCGAGCAAACCAATCCTTCCCATGTCTGCCGCACAGCAATCTGGACAGTCGGTCGGTCAGCGGGGCCGGGAGGACGATGGCGGCGGAAACTACCCTTCGAGAATTTGAAGGAAGACGATTGGCTTACTTTGACCGGAAATAAAAAAGTAAAAAATGTCCGTGGGACGACGTTGATGTGTGTTTTTTGTTTTTTGGTCAATAATTGACGTGTATATTTGAAAGACAAGGTGAGAGGACAAGACGAACTTTCGCTGTTTTTGTCGGGAAAATTTTCACTCTGACGGGACACGAATATTGGTTTTATATGAGTGGTAAAAAATTTTATTGTTTAAGTTATTAATTTTTTAATACATAAATCGTAATATTTGAATAATAACACGTGATGTACCATCTTATTTGTCGATGACACTAAAAAAAATCTTTCGTTTCCGTAGATTCTCTTGTCTTTTTGTTTTGTCGGATTGTGGAATCCTTTTGTATTTCTGCTTAAATTGCAAGCACACAGTAACGGGCTTTTTTTGGGGATAAGATCTGGGCTGAAATCTGGACTATACCTAGGTTTTTCTTATATTTTGGGCTTTAGATTTCAGCCCGTGCATTTGTAATTTTTTTTATTTATATACAGCAATATATTTACGCTAAGAAGCTAAGAGAACAAGTTGATATCGAACTTTTCGTTCATGAGATTCAAACCTAAAAATTATCATTTACAAGTAAAGAGAAATACTATTAGACGGTAATACTAAGTTACTCCGTGCGTTCATATCTTATATTACCAGTTTATTTATCCCAAGTGCAAAACCGCTAGTCTCTAGTTTTAGTGGTAGTTGTCTTGATATTTATAATGTTCAACTCACGTGTTTGCGAGAATGATATATAGTTTTTGTGAGTTCAATACAGATCTACTTGCAGTTGGCCTTGTTATTGTGGCACACTGATTTGTTGGAGTGTATTAATCTTTATGAATATTTTTTCGTTGAAGAATGAGATCACATTACTAATTTAGTAACTAAGTACTTATACGATCACTCAAGCTTCAATCTTGGATTTTATATCAAGAATTGAGAAATTAATAATACATCAACTTACTATTCAGCACTAATATTAAATTAAAATGTGAATAACCATGCATTGATTGATCATCAAGTGACCAAGCGAATAATTCTATCCAACAGGATCCTTTTAGTGAGGATCCTAAGAATTCGTGAATCGTATTCGTTCATCATATATCGTACGGTCATTTTTTGTCAAGTACTATTTATATTTATTTTTAAATAAAAATATTTAAGATAAATTTTTACTGTATATTATACAATGAACGGATATGATTCATGAATTCCTGGATATTCATAGCAAGGATCCGGACTCTTCCATTACGCAAAATATATCATGGGGAATCTTATGCTCCCTCCACTCCAGGGGGTGGTTCCACTTGGTTAGATTCAGAATCTTGGTGACGTGGGAAAAATGGAGGTAGTGGTAGAAACTATATGCTCAATGGTGTCACGTTATTCACGCAATGTGGTTGTGATTGAGTAATGGACCACTTCTCTTTGCTCTCTGTGCAGCCATTTGTCTGGTGACGTGTCACGTTTCAATATCTTATACATAAACTTTACTATATAAATAATTTAATTAATGCCTTCCGTTCTTTCTCTATAAAATCCAAACCAATTGGAAAGCGTGGAAGCTTCCTTCTTTGCAAAAGGGAATATTTTTGCTCACTGCATTTAAATGGTAGTAATACTTATTTTGGAAGAGTTTAAATATTAAGATTTATATCTGATCATTAGACAGATATCAAAATTGTAACTCGTCCAACAATTATAAAAGGGTGGTGCGTCAAAATATTCCCTTGTTCGTGTTACAAATGTAAGTGATGATTTGATCGAGTGATTAGGATTTCGAGTCCAAATTTTCTTTCTTTTCTTTACTATAGATTAGTATAGCATATTGGTTGTAATATAAAAACAATAATAGTCAGCAATTCAAAAAAAATTCAACGTGTTTCTAATAGTAATCCTTTGAACAATAGTACTTGCGCATATAAGTGTTTTTTTAGAGAAACGGTTAACTGGGATAAATATCCAATTTGAATCCGCAAATTACTAAAAGATTGTTCAATTAAGAGTGGTAGTTGTTTCCACTATTAATGAAAGAAGTTTCAAGTTTCACTCACTACGGTGGCACAACTTCGTTTGTAAAATATATGTTTTAAAAAATATTGTCGTTTAATCCAGTCTGTTCAAACAAGAAATGGTCCACCTAGATATTTCTTTATGCGCAAGCCAAGAAATCTAACGATTTCATCGTTCACGTAAAAAATAATACTTGAGCAAGAAGACAGACATCTGGCTACAACACAATCAAATCAAACTTTCGATGTTATTGCTTTTTTAAGCAAGCACTGCACATTGCCTTCGGCTTCAGGTATCTTCTTGTTCTTGCATTTACTTTCAATAACACCTACTCCAATTTTTAAAGAAAAACTTAAATTTTAGGTTCTAAATTTATTTTAACTTGCTTTAATTCTTGAGATAAATATGAGTTAAAACTCAAAACTCATTTATGCACCAAATTTAGCTCAGGATTTTCTCTGAGTTAGTGGAGCTGGTGTCACATCCCGGCCCGGGGCGGACCACTTCCCGGGCCCGCTCCACCACCGTAGCACGATATTGTCCGCTTTAGGCACCGACCACGCCCTCACGGTTTTGTTTCTGGGAACTCACACGAGAACTTCCCGATGGGTCACCCATCCTGGGAATGCTCTCGCGCACTACTCGCTTAACTTCGGAGTTCCTACGGAACCCGAAGCCAGTGAGCTCCCAAAAGGCCTCGTGCTAGGTAGGGATGGGAATATACATTTAAGGGTTGGAGCAAAAAAGTTGTTTCTAGGTTAAACCTAAATTTTATGAGCTACAAAAATTTTAGGTTTTAACCCAAGGGTTGGAGATGGTCTTAGTAGAATAATTTTACATTCTTGTTATGTATTATTTATCTTAGTTATTTTAGTTAAACCAGTATTTCAAATTAGCATAATTCGTCACTTTAGTTCTTGAGATTTAAAGTTAATAGGATTGGTCCGTTGTTAATTAATTGAGGATATTTTTGTCATTTTAATCCTTATTAAGTAGAAATTTTCGCATAAGGCCAAAATAATTGATTGTGGACCACTTCTCTTAACTCTCTCTACGGCCATTTGTCTGGTCACGTGTCACATTTCAATATTTTATACAAAAGCTTTGCTATATAAATAATTAAATTAATGTCTCCCTTTCTCTATAAAATCCAAACCAATAGAAAAGCATGGAAGCTTCCTTCTTTGGAAGAGGAAATATTTTTGTTCACCACACTTAAATTATAATAGTACTCATTTTGAAGAAGTTTAAATATTAAGATTTATATCTGACCATTATACAGATATCAAAATTTTAACTCATCTAACAGTTATAAAAGAGTAGAGCGTCAAAATATTCCCTTTTTTGTGACATAATTGCGGAACAACCATTTAGTACTTACAAGTGTAAGTGATGATTTGATCAGGTGATTAGGATTTCAACTTTCAAACTTTCTTTCTTTTCTTTAGTATAGATTAGTATATCATATTGATTGTAATATAAAAACAATCATACCCACCAGTTCAAAAAAATATTCAACATGTTTCTAATAGTAATCTTTTCAACAATAATACATGTGGATATAAGTGTTTTTTAAGAGAAACAATTAATCAGGGCGAATATCCAACTTGAATCCGTAAAGTACTAAAAGAATGTTCAATTGAGAGTGGTAATTGTTTCCACTATTACGGAAAGAAGTTTCAAGTTTGAATCATTACGGTGGCATAACTCCGTTCGTAAAACATATGTTTGAAAAAATCTTATCCTTGAATCCAATTTGTTCAAACAAGAAATGGTCCACCTAGCTATTTCTTTATGTGCAAGCCAAGGAAATCTAACGATTTCATCTTTCACGTAAAAAGAAAAATACTTGAGCAAGAAGACAATAGTTTAGTATATTAAATCGACTCGGATTACTTGAAGCATCGGTTAGTAAGAGGTTGGATGTCGTCGCTATAAACAAAGACCGCCGACAATAACACAATCAATTCAAATCAAACTTTTTACGTTATTACTTTTTTAAGCACGCACTGCACATTGCCTTCAGCTTGCAGTTTCAGGTATCTTCTTGTTACTGCTATTGTAATCTACTTTCGCTTGGTAGAATAATTTTACATTCTTGTTCTGTATTAATTTATCTTACGTATTTTAGCTAAATCAGTTTCTGAAATTAGTATAATTCATCACTTTGATTCTTGAGATTTAAAGTTAATGACTGGTCTCTGAGTTTGTTTACTGTCATTTATTTGGTCATTTCATGAAAAATTTTAATTAAATAAGGAAAAAATAACAAAAATACCCTCATTTTTGTCAAATCATTTTGGTCCGTTGTTAATTAATTGAGGATATTCTTGTCATTTTACTTCTTATTAAGTAGAGATTTTCACAAAACAACAAAAATGATTGATTGTGGGCAAACTCAGGGATATGTTCCATTGATTTCAAACCTCAAGGATCAAACTGAGGAGTTATACCAATCTCAGTAACTATTTTGGCTAAAATGCCTTTATCTTAAATTAATGCTTTTTTTTTTTTTTTTTTTTTTGGCTTTTGGAATGGATTTAGTTTCTCGTTATATTATTTTTACTTCGGTGCGTTTTACTTTTTCAGATCATTTATTTCGATGTATTTATAATAAGTGAAAGTTCTTTTGTTTATTTCTAAATCGCTCATTTGGCACTATGATATTTTGAACGTCACATTCTTTTTTTTTTTTTTTGGCCTTTTTAATCTTAAATTTTCTACTCCAGCTACTCCAAGTCACTTGATGGTTCGCCCACAATCAAACCAAGAAAGATGAACAAAGCGCCTTAATTTATGATGCTTCATAACAAGGCCAGCCGGGGAAAAAAGGTAATATCATGATGAGTTTTAAATTAGATCAGTAGTTCGCCTCAAATCATAATTAAAGTCTTACTAATAACACCGTCAGCTGAATTGCATGTCTAGATCTTGACAGTTGAAATCCAATCATTCAAATATTAATGCACTTCACATGTAACGTAAAAATATCCATAAATAATGAAAAAAAAATGTGTGAGAAATTAAAACGTGAGTAAGTGAGGAAGAAAAAAAGCCGTAGATGATTCATGATTCCCATTTCCCACTCAACAATCAGCTCATTCATTCTAGCGTCTTCCCCATTAAAATTTTAAAATATGGCAACAGACGAAACGACACCGCACCGAGATCAACACAACCAAAACACGAGGGCTTATTAGGAATCTTGAATGTAAAACTAGCATATGGTTACACGGAAATTGTGTGAGAAATTTTTTTATTTTTGTTTTTGAAATAGAGAAAGAGAGGAATAGAGTGATAGAGAAATATATTTTTTTTAATTAGAAATATGTTAGGATTACATGTAGGTCAGGTTTTGATAAAAAATAGGAAAATTTAGTTGTGTGAAATTACATTTTTGCCCTATATTTTTTCTTCATATTATGTTTTAATTAGAAGATTAAACTGGTAATTTCATACAATTTTCGTTGAGTAATTTATTAATGAGTAGGGATAACTTAACAATTGAGGAAACCCTACAGGCTACGGCCACCGCAGCACTCAATTTAATTAGTACCTGACTAAATCAAACTGTTAATTGCACAAATGGACCTGAACTTTGTCAGTGTTGTGAAATAGCATACGAACAAAATGATTTTACAATAACACCCAAAATATCATTTTTTTTTTTGTCGCAATTTGGCGCCCCAACCTGTCACAATGTTTTATTTTTAAGGTATTTTTAGTCACTTGTTATTTTCAAGTCATTTTCACAACTTGAGTACTTGAAGCTAAATATCTTAGTCCACGCCCATCTTATTGCAGCTGAATCATGTGTTAATTCGACCTTTTATCTTCTAAAAAGATAAAAAAAAACATAGCAATTTCTATAGTTTTTCTGAAACTCATTAAATCTATGTCCTAGTTGAGTGAAGCGATGACAACAACCTTGAACATAAGAGTTTCTTGTGTCCAACTAGTCCTATGTGGCCCCAAACAAATATTTTCAGATGGTTAAGCCCTACATACAGGAGGTGCATTAGGGTTTTTGTTCATCTTAAGGTCCGATCGTCAGACCTCAAATTTTCTCTTTAAAAAGAGATGCATATCTGTTTCATGTATCATTATTTGGGCCGTAAATCGTAAATTGTTTTAGAATAAGTGGTAACTGCACAAAAATGAAAAAGTATAAGTCCCACTGTGTAAATTTTCTTATGTAAAGAAAAGAGAAAAAGCAAAACCTCGGTGTACAATTCTCGGAATAGAAAAAGGGCAGTTTGAAATATTTGCGGGCAGCGTGTGAGGAGGAGACCAAATAGCGAGCGAGAGCTGCTCTGAGAAAAAGAGGCGGTCGTTGCGATAGGTTCGAAGACCCAACCAACCACAGGAAGAAGAAGGGCGGTGGCGGCGATGATTTCTGGTGAAACCCCATAAAACCTAAGGATTTCGATAATGTTTCAGCTCTGCAGTTGCAATTGCAATTGCACCCTCTCCTCTCTCCTCCTCCTCGTCCCTCCTTTTCTTCCTCTCACCTGAACCCCTTCCGAGTCCCCTCCCCCCCCCCCCCCCTCTCTCTCTCTCCCCCCCTCCCTGGTATGCTTCTTACTCTGTCTCCGATCTTCGTGTTCTGTTTCTGCGTCTAGTTTTTTTTTTTTTTTTTTTTTTTTTTGATATTGTGTTTTTCATGTGTATTTTATTAATTTGTTGTTTGTGTTTGACTGCTGAGAAATGTCGTCTCCACGAAACCTGGAGGATTTTCTGAGTTTTTTTTTTCTCGGCAACCAAACATAGCGTTAGGATTCTTCCAGATTCGGTTCATTTGCTTATTTAATTATGATTATTCTGTTTTTGTGAGTTTTTTTTTTCTCGGCAACCGAACATAGCGTTAGGATTCTTCCAGATTCGATTTATTTGCTTATGTAGTTATTATTATTCTGTTTATTGCTGTGGAAATTGGAATTTGTGCGGCTTGGGGTTTTATTGGCTTGAAGAAATGAATCGGATTATAAGTGTTTAATTTTTGGATTATTGAATAATTTGAATTGATTCGGCTATAACTGCACAGCTAGGGTTTTATTTTGTTGTTTTTTGATTTGGATTTTTGATGATGATGAATTGGTGATGCAGAACCATGCCGACTTTCACTGTCATAGCTTTAGATAGGTTGTTAGAACCTGGAGCTTCTTCCAAATCCGCCGACATGTCATCTCTTCCGAATTCCAATTCCAAGCCTTTTTCGAGTTCAATGCCAGTTCCTGACTCCAAGCTGGAGAGGAAGAACAGCGCCTCCGTTGCGGAGAAGAGGCCAAATCGACCTCCGATTACGCCGGCCCTTTACGCTACTCCGGAGGCCACACCCCTCCCGGATTCGCCTACTTCATTTACTCCCTCGCCTTACATCATCAATCACAAGCGCCGTGGTCCAAGGCTTATGAAGAGTTACTCGGAGCAGGATGTGACATTGCACCAGAAAGCTGGAGATATGGAGAAGCTCAATGGGGATGTCAACGATGCTGAGGCCAAGGGGGTTAAGCTCAATGGGGATGTCAACAACGCAGAGGCAAAGGTGGCAAATTTGCCTGTGGATGAGTTGGATACTTTTACTTTCCCCAAGCCTGTTGAAGTGCATCATTCGAATGGAGTCCATCATTTCGAGAGCAGCAATGGGAAGCTTGGGACCAGTGATGGGCAACTTAGAGGCAGTAATGTGGAACTAGGTAGTAGTAGCGAGCGTGAAGATAGCTTCTATGTGCCCAACAAGAGAAGCGGTAATGTGGAACTGAGTAATGTTTCTGCTAGGGAAGATGAGTTGTTGAAGCAACCTGCCATGAGTCCAGGAAGAGATAGTGAAAGTGAGGATTTCTTTGATCCGAAAGACTCCATGAGCGTCGCAAGTTACAACACGGATGGAGAGGGAAGTGTTTGGGCTGAGCGTTCTGCACAGACCAGTACACCCATGGGGGAATTTTATGATGCTTGGGATGGTATGTAGCTTTGCTTCTTTGGTTAAATTTATTTCCTTTCATTTGCTTATTTTTTGTTCTTGAATATGCTTTGCCCATATATCCGTGAATTAATTGAGCACCATGATTGAAGATTGGAATATGCTGGTTTTTCCCTAGTTGGGTATCTTTACATATAATATGGTGTATATTTCTTTTCCCTTCTATACATGAAGGGATGTGCAAATATGTTTTCAGCTCTTACGTCAATTTGGATTTGTGTTGAGCATGTCGACTTTAACTCTACGTTTTTAATTAGTCACGTTAGATGACTTGACTCATTTGTTAACTGTGTCTTGTCTTGGTTGACATGCATATCTCATGAATTAGAAACTCAGTAACAGGATGTTTTCATTTTGAACCAAACTCATTTCTTAGATCTTCATAAAGTAAAAACCACCTGATCCGAGTACTAGCAGAACTTACCTGTTGTGTTCGATACTCGTGTTAGTAAGTGTTTTTTTTTTTAAAGATTCATATCAATTAATAGTTTACTCTAACTCATCCTACCCTATGCTATAGTTAATCCTAATTTGTTTTTTCGTGTTGGGCACTACTTGTGTTACTGTGTCATGTCATTTTGAAAGTTCCTGTTCATTTTCATATTGGGTTTGCGGTGTGTCAGTGTTGCTGAAAATTGACATCCCTGTCTTTCTATGACATAGAAAAGGTTCATTATTTATGAGATTGGTATTAAGTCGCTAATTATGATTAAGGGCACAAACATGCCGGTTCTCTATAAATACCCTAGTCTCTGAATTTTTGAAATGGCATAGAAGAGGGGATTAAATCAAAACATTCTATGCATGTCTTCTCTGTGTTTTTTTGAGATATAAAAGAAAACTTAATTTCTCCAGCTCAGAAGTTTGGTTTCAATTTACGACAGGATTTCAAGATTTGGATGCTTAATCTTTGAATGTCTGTAATCCACCTTGTTCAATTTAAAATCACTACAGTTATAAATTTTTGGCGGTATTGAGCAACTTACTTTTTTTGTTACTCTGTGCAGAACTTTCATCTGAGAGCGGGCATGGGCAACAGCTTTCTGTTTCTGACCTTGACGTTGAATTGCGTGAAATGAGATTGAACCTTATAATGGAGATTGAGAAGCGCAAGCAAGCAGAAGAATCCTTGAATAACATGCAAAGGCAGTGGCAGAGGATTAGGGAACAATTATCTCTTGTAGGATTGACACTCCCTGAAGATCCTGCTGCTGCAAGGGGTCCTGAGCAACTAGGTTCTGATCCTGCAGAAGATCTGTGCCAACAAGTTTATCTTGCTAGGTTTGTATCAAATTCTATCGGGAGGGGATTGATAAGGGCTGAGATGGAGTTGGAGATGGAAGCTCAGATCGAGTCAAAGAACTTTGAAATTGCTCGGTTGATGGACAAACTCCGTAACTATGAGGCAATGAATCAAGAAATGGTTCAGAGGAATCAGGACGTTCTCGGTGAGACTTGTATACCTTTTGCCTCTTGTTTATTTCTTGATTCCTAAGGCTTGAGGTATTATATTATTTGTTAAATCAAAAGCATTTTCGATGCCTACCTCAGTTGAACTATGTCTTCTTCCCCATTTTTAACCAGTAACCTGTGTCAGGTTTGAACATATGGCACCCTCCTAATGTGCATCATTTGGGCCTTTGATCTACCTCGCATTATTAGCTCACCTAAGTTTTACTTTTTGTTTCGTGTAGAGATGGCACGGCGCGACAGGGAGAGAAGGGAAAGAAGACAAAGATGGGTATGGGGCTCGATTGCGACTGCCCTAACACTTGGTACTGCAGCCTTGGCATACTCTTATATCCCGTCTAGCAGGGGATCGCCAACCTTCGATTCCGAGGTTCCTGAGAGTAGCGATGCAGGCAAATGATAATCACTTTACGTTGCACCCGTGACCCTATGCCGTATAACAGAAGGAGAAAATAAAAGGTCTTATACTATGCCACATCCTTTGTGGATAACATTCTCTTGCTCTTTTATCAGTTAGATTTTCCTATGATCTGAGGATGTACAGTTCTACAGAAAATAATTAAAGTTTGAAGTCATAAGGTTTGAGCTTCGGTTTGTCTCGAAGCGTTTATACACAATTCTATGCCCGTTAAGTATTCGTCTGATTTAGTGATTTTTGATTTGCGCTCATCGGGGATCAGTTTTCCGGTGCCCTAGTTACTAGAAATTGTTCTTGTGCATGGTAGGATACGTGCAGTTTGATTTGGCGATATTCGATTCTGTTTTTGCGATATTCGTCACTTGGGTTTCATTTAAATTTAGCCGAGCACTTGCAGAGCATTTCGTTATCTTCCTAGTTATATTGACAAGTTGGAAGGTATGATGCGAAGCTTTACCTACCAAGGCGGGCCGCTAAAGCTTGTCCTGAGGGCTGTTGAGTAAAGTGCCAAAGCCTGTTGAATACTGTCTGAGAGGCATTTCATCTAACAGTCCTCCGTCGATCTTTTCCCTATGTTTTCCAACTTTAATGGGGTTCTGGAACTCAAGTTGACCCCTTGGACTTGGATCCGTCCTTTCTCGTACTCTTGTTCTCGAGTTTAAATTTCCCTCTCTCTATATTAAAATGATATACAATTCCATCTTGTAAACAAAAAAGATAAATTGAGCTAGAAATTCAAATGGTGAGAGGTAATTTGAATACAACGATAACGTGAATATAGCTCCCAAATAAAAAGGTCCAAAAAATGGGAAAATAATAAACGACGCCGTCTTAAGAGGTTTATCCACTGGTAAGATAAAACAGAGGGAGAGAGTGTAATCAGGTACTCTGGAGCTCCGACAACGGAGCTAGCTCTGCACATGTCAGCAACTCTTCCCAGAGAAAACTCCCCCACCCGTTACCGCCATTCCAACTTCTTCACAACCCAAAACCACCACCACTTGTCTCTTCCCCCATTTCTCCAAATACCCACAATTCCAGGCAAAAAAATAGAAGAAATTGGACTCCAAAACTTGTATTAGCCGCTACAAATCAGCGTCTCAGGATCACCGAACAAGAACAATCCCAGGAGGAAGAGGAAGAAGGAGAAGAAGAAGATGCAGGGGAGGAGGAGGAGGAGGAGGAAGAAGAGTACGATTATTCGGAGGACGAGTCTTCTTTGCTGTCTCGGAGTGAGAAGCCTGACAGAAACATGGCTTTGCTCGATGAGTACGAGATGGAGGAGCACGAGTACGTCGCCGACCCAAATCATCGGAGCGGTAAAATTTGATAAAACCTCTTTTGGGTTCGTTTAATTTTAGCGGAGGAATTTTGGGTGTTATTTGGAGTTGTGGGTTTGATTGAGTGAAAATGCAGGGTATGTGGCCGTGCTGGGGAAGCCGAATGTGGGAAAGAGTACACTTTCGAATCAAATGGTTGGTCAGAAGTTGTCCCTTGTTACTGACAAACCTCAGACTACCCGGCATCGAATTCTCGGTATCTGTTCTGGCACAGACTATCTCTTAGCTGATGTTGTTATTGGTTTTAATTCAGTTGTTTATAATGGTATAGTTCGATTACTTGATATACAAGGAAATATAAAGGAAATGTTAATACGGTGAAGTTTCTAAGGTTCGGGATTAAGAGCCGACTAATATCTTGTTTTGCACAGAAGTAATACTTTATTGATGGTTTCTGAAGTTCTGGTGATGCATATAGGTTTGACATAAGGATTTGTGTGTAGATGATACTGTATGACACACCGGGTGTTATGGAGAAGAGAATGCACAAGTTGGATTCTATGATGATGAAGAATGTCCGGAGTGCTACAGTTAATGCAGACTGTGTAGTTGTTCTTGTTGATGCATGAAAAGTGCCTGAAAAAGTATGCTTCTTCATTTGTAGGATTGCATATGAAACTTTGTCCTCTTGTCCTTAGGTCATTTTCTCGTTTCTAGATTGATGAAGTGTTGGAAGAAGGTGTAGGTAACCAGACGGAAAGCTTGCCGCCCATTTTGCTGGTTATGAATAAGAAGGATTTGATTAAACCTGGTGAAATTGCAAAGAAACTAGAGGTCAGCATTTGTTTACGCGTATAACTACACACTTAGTTTCCGGATCTTGTTGTCTAAGCTACTTTTTTTTATCCTAAATAAGAATTACATCTTTTACAGTGGTACGAGAAATTTACAAACGTTGACGAGGTCATACCTGTGAGGACAGGGAGTGGAAGATGTCAAGCATTGGATTTTATCACAAATTCGTTATGGGCCAGCATATTATCCGAAGGTACTTGGAATTTCATGTTATAGGCTCATGATTGCCCTCCCTTTCTTTGAAGCTAAAGTCCTTAATGGTGTTCCTGTTTCATGGCCGTGAATGTTCTATTCTCGCCTTATCCCAACCATTAGGATTCATGTGCAGAAATCGCACGGTAGTAATAAATGTCATAAGACTTTCTACAATCAGACCTCACATTCCCATCCTAAAGAGAAAACTGCATTGGTGTTGAACTTTTGAAAGTAAGTTCCCCTTAAGCAGTAGTAAAAATTTGTCTTCCGTATTCTTATTCAAAGTGTAAATTTATACCTCTCAAGAATATCCAAAAGTGTTATTTTCATGTATGGATAACTTATCTTTATTCTTTATGAATTCTTAGGACATTGTCAGTGAGCACCCAGAAAGATTCTTTGTATCTGAAATTGTTCGAGAAAAGATCTTTATGCAATACCGTAAGGAGATTCCTTATTCATGTCAGGTAAGTAGTTTAGAAGCTCAAAAGATTTGGCTTGTGAGGAATGGTACCCCATCCCTAGAGAGAAGCCAAAAGAAGAAGATAATATTTCTAGTTGATTTTCACCAGGTGAATGTCGTGAGCTACAAAACTAGGCCAATGGCAAAAGATTTTATACAAGTGGAAATTGTCGTTGAAAAAAACTCACAGAAGATCATTGTTATTGGAAAAGTAGGTAATCTTCAGTTGCATATTTTGTCCGCTTCATGCAAACTATATCGAACTTTATTTATCTTCTTGATCAAAGATTTAATTTGATATGGTGCATAAAGGCATGTATCACAAAAAGCTAGATAGCTCGATCGCTGAGTTTATATCCTGAATCATTTTGTAGGAAGGGAGAGCTCTGAAACTACTTGCAACTGCTGCTCGACTCGACATAGAAAACTTTTTGCAGAAGAAAGTATGACCGATATCTGTGCACAAACTATGTCAAATTGTTTTAATTGGCCATTGTCCTGCGCTTAATACATTCTGTGGGTAGTTGGGCTGCAGCATTATCTCCTCACTTTTACTTTGTTCGTCACGTCTTATATAGAAGATATCCACCTTACAGGACTATATTCATGCTTTAAACAGGTTGAAGTGAAGGTTAAAGAGAATTGGCGGCAAGACGAAGTTCTTTTGAAGAATTATGGCTATGGGGGTCAAATTCAAGCATTTTGATGTTGGGGCCTCTACAACCTGTCCGTATCCATTGGAGAACACAAGCGAGGATGGCCGTATCATTTAGGCTACACGAGTGTTTTCTTTGAGATGGCTTTGATGTCGTTGATTAACGTAGATGCCTCCCGTTCCTTTTTGACTACACACAAGCCCATCAGAAATGTTGAAGCCCATCAAAGTGTAGGTAGGTTTCCCGTAACGTGGGATGTTTGAAGCAGGTGAATGATGATGGGCATCGTCGCTTTCAATGATGGCCAGATATGGCTTTGGCATGCCTTGTGGCACCATCATGTCAAAATCCTACCCCTTAAAACCACAAACAGAGTGGGGATAATTCTCCTCACATGGGCTGAAGTGCAGCGTCAAGTTCAACTATGTTAATGCGCATGGTGGGTAGATAGGACACATTAAAAGTTAAAGCTTACAATGGCAATTATGCTTGAATAACGACGGTTCAAACATATTTTTCATTTTAAGAATATATAACCCGTTCTGTTTATGTATATTTCTCAAGAAAAATTGAATACGGAATAGTAGGGTTTTGGTTTTTTTGGGTGAAGGGGGTTTGTCTAGCAGGAGAACTTGGTCCCACAAATGTAGCGTTACGAGACTTGTTTCTTGTATTGTAACCTTTACCGGTGTTTCTACCAAAATATGTTTGAAGATTACTAAATCTTATACTCGAATACAGGAACGAAAATGCAATCCGAGTTATAGTCCAAAAGTCATTGTTACAATGACGCCTTGTGTTTAATATAATATTAAGGAAACATTTTCAAACTTTGTTTTCAAGGAAACCCCACATGTTTGGCATTGCAGTTTCCATGGACATAAAAGGTGATAGCTTGGCATCTCATTATTCATGACATAGTGCATCATATCACGGGTTCTATCAAATAAATGTGGCCATAATATTTTCTGCACTGTTGGTGCAAGACACAGGTAGCTGAGTGTCTGTATGACCAAATTTATTTTGTGGATGATAACAATTTACATGACATTGGTAAATGTTAGTGGCGTCTTGTGCTTATAAAACAAGAATATATAGAGCAAAATTTACGCATTTATTTAGTTCATTGACACGAAACGCTAATATGACAGTGTATCCATGACATATAAATTATTTGCCGTGTATATATCTTAAAATAACTAAGTGACTTGTCGCAAAAGCTCCTACTCAAGAATTTGTCATTGATTTCAGCAGGTCCTCTGTTGTGTCGGTCACTAGTATCTCTTTTTCTCTATTTATTTGCAATTGTACCAGAACAAACAAATCCACCTCCACCTCCACCTCCAAGCTTTTTATCCGACTGCAAACATTTCATCCATACTTGGAGAAGATGAAGCATCCATCTTTTGCTCTTCTTTTAGCAATTTTAATCCACGGACAGTGTTTTATTACTCCAATCCATGTTTCAGCAGCAGGTGATAATTTCATCAGAGTGAGGGGAGTGCATTTTCTTCTCAACGGCAGCCCTTACTATGCAAACGGCTTCAACGGCTACTGGCTAATGTATGTGGCTTCCGACCCGTCTCAGAGGCACAAAGTCTCTTCTGTTTTCCGTGAAGCAACTAGCCACGGACTCACCGTGGCTCGAACTTGGGCTTTCAGTGATGGAGGTTACAGGCCTCTTCAGTTCTCCCCTGGCTTATACAATGAGCAAATGTTTAAGGTTCCTCCTCTCATACTTCTGCTCTACTCTTTGTTTTTCTTGTCGTCACGCTGCCTAGGATTGGATTGGATTGGATAAGTCACTGAATTGGGCCTCGTTTGTTCTTTACAATTGAGTTGGATTGGATACCACGCTTTTATTTTAGTATGAATATAGTGAGTTATTCATTCCAATTCAGACCAAACAAGGCCTCAGAGTACCCTGAAGTAAGAAACGAAGGCCAAAGTTTGTCCCAAACGAAGGAATTGGATTAAACTATAAGGTGTTGGTCCTACCATTTTGTGGGGGTTTGATGGGATAAGTTTCATTCATGAGTGATCTGTCTCTTCTTTCAACTCGTACAAACTTTCTTCCTTCAACGTACTTTCAATCTGTTGAGTCATCTAAATCCAATCCAATCCTAGGAACAAGTGCAGAATATTAAAAAAGCATGCAATGATGGGGACTTTCGTAAATGTTTTCGTTTGGATTTTGGTTTTGAAGGGGTTGGATTTTGTTATAGCTGAGGCCAGAAGATATGGAATTAAGCTGATATTAAGCTTGGTGAACAACTATGAGAGCTTTGGAGGAAGAAAGCAGTATGTGAATTGGGCAAGAAGTCAAGGGCAGCACCTCACATCTGATGACGATTTCTTCAGGAACCCCATTGTGAAGGGTTACTACAAGAACCATGTAACCGTAAGTGAAAGCAATAAGCGCTCGTTTAGTGCCTAAGATTGGATTGGATTGGATAACTCATAAAATCCATCGTATGTTGAAGATACGAGTTACTCAAAGTACGTTGAGTATAGTGTATTTTCCAATCCAAAGCCGATCCTAGGCACCAAGCGAGCCTTAGTCTGCGACGAGCCTTTTCTGTTTATGAATATGCAGGATCTTCATTTCTAATTTAGATCGAATTTTTCGCAGACTGTTCTTAACAGATATAACAGCTACACTGGAGTTCACTACAAAGATGACCCAACAATTATGGCCTGGGAACTTATTAATGAACCTCGATGCACATCAGATCCTTCGGGAAGGACTATTCAGGTTAAAAAGCAATATCTTAATTATCCATTTTAATCTTTCATACCAATATCAGATAGACCAGCGAGGGGTCGGGTGAGAATAAAGGACAAGGAATTCCACGCTTTTGTTAGAACTACCATATAGATGACGTGATCCAGGTGCCCCTACGCAAGTTTTTCCCCTCGTAAATCAGCATAAATGCCAGAAATAGCGAAGTATGGATGGCTAAACTGCGAATTACCAATTGCAGCTACCATTTTTATGTGTTGTGCATTGCTAATTAAAGATGGATTTTCTTTTGATGTCAGATTTTTACTAATTGGTGTTCATATTAACAGGCATGGATAATGGAAATGGCTTCTCACGTGAAGTCAATAGACAGAAACCACTTACTGGAAGCTGGTCTAGAGGGATTTTATGGACAAGCAATACCTCAGAGGATGAGTCTCAATCCCCCTTTCAACATCGGAACAGACTTTATCGCGAATAATCGGATTCCTGGCATCGATTTTGCAACAGTTCACTCATATCCTGATCAATGGTAAATATGTTTAACTTGCAGGATCACATCTTTGTTGTACTTATACCGGTTTTTGCTTGAGCAGGTTGTCTAGCTCAAATGATCAAACTCAGCTCACTTTCTTGAACAACTGGCTCAACACCCACATCCAAGATGCGCAGAACATTCTCCGAAAGCCAATATTCATCGCAGAATTTGGGAAATCTTGGAAGGATCCTGGTTTCAGCACCTACCAAAGAGACCTGCTCTTCAACACGGTGTACTCCAAGATATACTTTTCGGCAAAAAGAGGAGGAGCAGCTGCCGGGGGACTATTCTGGCAGCTTCTCACCGAAGGCATGGACTCTTTCCGTGATGGATACGACATAGTTCTGAGTCAGAATCCCTCAACAGAAAATGTGATTGCTCAACAGTCTCACAAGCTCAATCAGATTCGGAAGATTTTTGCGCGGAGAAGAAATGCTCGGATGTGGAGGAGGGCAAGGGCCATTAGAAGGGCTGAATGGTTGGGTAGACACAAAGGCAAACCTATAAGAAATTGATCATATGCATTACCCTTTTGAGGTTTGCTGTTTAGGGTTTCCTCTCTTAGAGATGATTCGGATGAAACGTTTTTCGTCCACGAAGGAAACTTGTGTTACACGTATAGTATACTGCGCTTTTTCTTTGCCCTACATGTCCCGAACTCGACATCTCGTACTTATGTTGTAAGTGTGGAGTGAGTTTTTCAGCAAGTTTTCTGTTTGTAGAAAACCAGATAGCTTCGGGAGCGAAACATGTTTAAACCTCTTAAGGCATGTAACATATTGCTTCGGGGTATTATTAATCTACTCATATTATAATATAACAAATTTATTTATTAATATTATAGTAGATTGATGTCATATCAATCATATCGTCTACTCATATTATAACATGTGAATTATTATACTTCAAAGTTTCTTTATGCTATAACCATTGCTTTTTTTTCTTCTTTTATTCAACTAGTGTCGTCCATGGGACACATGGGATGTGAACTCATTACCTCTTCAAAAATGATAAATTTTTTTGATTGATCATAAAACCGTCATATGGTGGTCACCTATATTATGACAATACAACATCTATTTTATTTATTGATACTAAACATATTATGTATGATTATTATAACACATAAATTAATAATCTTACGCGTATTTGTTACGCCTTATGTAGTATTTGTGATTAAGATTGAGTTGAGCCCATGTCAATTAGACAAATAGCCAGAAAAAAGTTGCGCGCGTATGTCTTGTAGGCGCCCAACGATTCTCATGGTCGGTGAACAAAGCAGAACATGATTTTATCAATTAGACCTCATATTCGAAGAATATTTACAGCTTCAGCCTTCGCCCATACAGAATGCAGAAACCCTCTTCTTCCGGAGACAAAACCAGACCATCTAGAGCAGAAAACCCAATTGGGTAATGACGTAGATATGCTTGAACTCAACGCTCAATTGAAGCAGCTGGTTCAAACAGGTGAAGTTGGAGACGCCCGGAACATGTTCGATAAAATGCCTCAGAGAGATGAGATTTCATGGACCAATATGATTTCAGGCTACGTTGGTGTCTCTGATCCCTCTGAGGCATTGGTTTTGTTTTCGCACATGTGGGTTCAGCCTGCAATCTGCATGGACCCCTTTGTTCTTAGTGTTGCATTAAAGGCTTGTGGACTTGGTTTGAACTTGTCTTATGGAGAAGTAATACATGGGTACTCGATAAAATCGTGTTTTGTGAATTCGGTCTTCGTGGGCAGTGCGCTTCTCGACATGTATATGAAGATTGGTAAGATTGAGCAGGGATGTAGGGTTTTTGATGAAATGCCGATAAGAAATGTGGTGTCTTGGACTACTGTTATAACCGGGCTTGTTCGTGCCGGTTACAATGTGGAGGGGTTGGAGTATTTTTCTGAAATGTGGAGGTCGAAGGTGCAGTATGACGCGTATGTGTTTGCTATCTCGTTGAAGGCGTGTGCTGATTTGAGGGCTTTGAAATATGGGAGAGCGATTCACACGCAAACAATGAAGAAGGGGTTTGATGAGAGCTCATTTGTGACGAACTCTCTTGCCACCATGTACAACAAATGTGGCAAATTAGACTATGGGTTGCAATTGTTTGAAAAAATGAGGATACAGGATGTTGTTTCATGGACATCAATCATTACAACATACCTCTGGAGGGGTCAAGAGGACCGTGCAATCAAAGCGTTTAAAAGAATGCAAGAAGCCGGTGTAAGTCCTAATGAATACACTTTTGCAGGCGTTATCTCTGGAGTTGCCAGTCTTGCTAGAGTTGAATGGGGTGAACAATTGCATGCCCACGTTTTACACAGGGGTTTTATCTCTTCGTTGTCGGTGGGAAATTCCGTTGTGACCATGTATGCCAAATGTGGGCGTTTGGCTTCAGGTTCTAAGGTGTTTCATGAGATGAGCAGAAAAGATATTGTTTCATGGAGCGCTGTAATTGTTGGGTATTCTCAAGGAGGTTATGGGGAAGAAGCTTTTCAGTATTTGTCGTGGATGAGAAGGGATGGACCAAAACCAAATGAGTTTGCTCTTGCTAGTGTATTGAGTGTTTGTGGAAGTATGGCAATGCTTGAGCAAGGGAAGCAGCTGCACGCTCATGTTGTGTCTGTCGGTTTAGAGTTTACATCTATGGTACAAAGTGCTCTAGTGAATATGTATTCGAAATGTGGAAGTATAAAAGAAGCTGCAAGGATCTTCGATGTGGCAGAACTTGATGATATTATTTCATGGACGGCAATGATTAATGGATATGCTGAACATGGGTACTACCGAGAAGCCATTGATCTGTTTGAGAAGATTCCTAGGGTTGGTCTGAAACCAGACTCGGTGACCTTCATCGGTGTTCTTGTTGCTTGTTGCCATGCTGGATTGGTTGATCTTGGTTTCCGCTACTTCAGTTCAATGAAAAATGACTTTGGGATTAATCCTGCAAAAGAACACTACGGCTGCATGATTGATCTCCTCTGTCGAGCTGGACGGTTAAGTGAGGCAGAGCATATGATCAAATGTATGCCAGTTCAACAGGATGATGTTGTTTGGTCTATTCTCCTTAGAGCTTGTAGGCTCCATGGTGATGTCGACTGTGGAAGACGTGCTGCAGATGAGATCCTTAAATTGGACCCGAATTGTGCTGTGACTCACATAACCCTAGCTAACATTTATGCTGATAAAGGAAAATGGAGGGAAGCAGCAGAAGTAAGGAAAATGATGAGATCAAAGGGGGTAATTAAGGAGCCGGGATGGTCTTGGATAAAGGTCAGGGATCGACTTTCTGCATTTGTTGCCAGAGATCAATCTCATCCACAAGCTGATGATATATACAGTGTACTGGAATTACTAGCTTCGAAGGCAGAAGATACTATTCAGGAAATTGGTTCTTCATTAATCGACGCTGAAGATTAGTATTTAATCCATTAAAACTTAAAGCTAATCTCTCCGATTTGATGGAGTACGTCCGATTCCTTGCAAAAGTCCAGTTTATATTATGTGGAGAGTTTCTCAGGGCATAGTTATGTAGTAAAGAACCATATGGAACCAGATGAAATTGCTTCTTTAGCCGTGGCTCGAGGATTGGAAATCACGGGAAAATCTGGATCCAGGGTCACGTTAAGAGGTCAAGCATTATCGGAGGCATGGAAACTCTCGAACTATCTCATCTGCGAAATTGCATGCTTCAGTAGAGGTTTCGGCTTTGTCAACATCAGAGGGCTAACTGATAACACCAGATCTTCATATTCAGATGATTAGCACTTATTTTTGCGAAACTATGTTTGCTCGCAATTTGATATTCACTCGAGAAAGTTTTCCAGAAAAGTGCTGCATCAATATATTTCAAAGGGTGCTGCATGCTGGGTTCAAGAAGTCCGGGTTGCATGTAAGTTTTTCTCCTATACAGTTAACTGTCGAAACAAGAAGATATTGTTCGAATCATTTTGTCACTCATTCATACGTTTTTTCAATTTACATGGTTTTTCACCTTTCATCCCTAAGCCCTAAGCCCTAAACCAATTACGAATTACATGCACAAGAAATCCTAGGCAAAATCCAGCAGCCCCCAAACCTACAACTATTTGAACCCATAAAGTGGAAACAAACGCTTTCTGCACAAAAGCATTCCATGACCAGAACCAAAAGATGGAGAAAATGGTTCCGAATGCAGCACCCACAATGACTTGGCTAAGCGTATGAAGTTTTTGCGAGACTCGTAACCATGTCTGCAAAAATGAATAGTAAAGATATACATAAGCAATCTAAAAGCATATCGTTGGTTGTTAAATTTTTTGCATTGCAGCGTCTATTGAGATTTAAGAGCTTTACCACCACATTACACACCATTGGATGAATTCAATTTCTAAGATTTGTGTACCGGTAGATTAAATCAAACTCATCTAGTGACACATAATATGGTCGTAATGCTCAACACCAATTAAGGGTGGTTAGCAAATTTGTTATGTTTTGAGTAGGGGATCAACTTAAGAACTTGAACACTCTCAAATATGTAGCCAAGCTTCAAAGCATTATTTAACTGAATGCAGAACAAGATTGAATACTTACAAAATATGTTCCAAACGCTAAGGCAAACGCACCGATGGTCAAGGTAATTACATTTACCCCTAGCCATTCCACAACTGCAATAACACACACACAGGTACCATTATTGGATGAGAAAACAGAGGTATCAAATTGATATTTGACTGACAAGAACAAGAAAACTAGTTTTCATTGAATTCCGACATCTTTCATGGTATCAGAGCAGAGATAAAGTCGCACCAGAAAACCCCCTAAAGAAGTACTTTTTCTTTCATATGAAACATGGTACACCAATTTGATATCCCACAAAAAGATGATTTACCAAACCAAAGTTTAAAATTTCCCAGCTCTCCGCAAAGGCGATATACTCAATCTACGGGGAGGGGGATTCAACTTGGGTGCAAGAGGGCGGGCACTCTACCGCTGAAAAGCATACATTGCATCTCAACCTAGAGCATTCAGTTAACAGAAAAAACACAATATCAACAGGGACAAGAGAGATTACTTGACCAAATCGTGAACGTAACAATGTAGAAGATGGATTGTGCGTGGGAAGAAGGCATTCCAGGCTCCGATCTCAACGACTGAATTGGCCTCTCCTGGTTCAGTATCCTTTTGAGTATAACAGATAGGATTGAATTTGCAACAGACCCCATTGCAGCCCACAGGGCTTCTCCATCATGCCTCCACAGAATCACCACAGCAAAAAGGGCAGATATAATCCACTTGCTCTGCATCCACAACCCAAACCAATCCCTTAACATCATTCCAACAAAAAATAAAAACCCCGACAACTATAAGTTTTATACAAAACACTTCGAGGTCGTGCTTTTATTAATTATTAGTTCTAAAGTATCGGGTTTGAAGCCTTTTTTTGTTTTTTTGAACTTTAAAGAAAAGTTGTAAGTATAGTTGATTTTAACGAAAAATCATATTTTTACACTAAAAAATTAATCATTGTACTATTTACTTTATTCTTCGTCTTATTATTTTCTTTAAACCTCAAAATTTTCAAATCATTTTCATTAGTTTTTTTATTTTTTTATTCCGAAGTGTAATGCTATCAAGGGCTTCTATGAAAAAAAATAGAAAAGAAAACATGAAACCTACCAGTCGATTGAGTTTCGATTCCAACCCATTATCCACAATCAAAGGACTCAACTCTGAAGAACCATCAATGTAATCTTCAGGTTGAATCTCTCCGCCGCCGTCTTCGCCGTCGGCGTTTCGAGAAGGCAGCATCTTTATCAGCTCAATCATGGAATTCGAAGCCATGACTCTGCTCCTCCGCCCCGAAACAGCTTTCTTGGGGACGAATCCACCTGAGAAATCCAGTTTTTTGGCGGGAAATCTGGGAAAAGAAGAAATGGGTTTCAGAGATTTGAGCCGATAAGAACGGCGGGGGAAGATTCTGAGGTTTGGGTGGTGGAAAAAATTGGTGGCTGCTGATGATGGCATGGTTTATTGATGAAGTGGGACTGAGTGCGTAGACTGAAAGCCATTTTTCAACGTTCTTATGGCGGATTTGGAAGAAGCAACAAATGGCGCATGATGAGAAAAATCTAAACAGGAATCTGCTATTTTCCGGGAAAATTTCAGAAAGTATCAAACTTTTGTTTGTGGCCGCATGAGGACTCACAGTGCTTTCGTCACACATATTTTACCCCTATTTCTAGATAATATCACGCAATAAACTTTTAGTTGACCTAATTCATCATACACGACGTCTATTTTTATTTTCTTATTTAGGAATTAAATTGAGAAATGTGAAGAAGATTCTCTTAAAGTAAATCTCTAATTTTCTGCCATTTTATAATATTGGCACGAAAATTGTGGCACAAACATGAGGGGATGAAAAGTCTATGAAAGTCCAACTTTTGAGAGTCTTTTCTCATTAAATTCAGAGAAGTGTATTTACTTGAGATTTTGATGAATTTTAATAAAATTATGGACTCTGATAAAGTCGTACAACTGCTAATGAATTTATATAGATTTCACGTGAATTTTAACGAATTCACATAAACTATATGTGAATTTGAAAGAAATTTTATGCGGATTTTGTTATGAAGTTTAATGGATATTAATGGAGCTTTTAAATACACCGCCAAATTCTTCTAAAATCCATAAGAATCCCAATTGGATACCCCTAAGAATAATGTGTTAACAACAAGGGCTAATAGTTTTGGTTGATAAGAGCATCACTTTCGTAATAATACATGTTGAATAAAGATTTGCGTATATCTCTAGCATCACGTAATAACTTGCTTCTTCCTCTACCAGAGTTACTATCTTAGGTCGCTAACATCATTGCTTGGCTATGATATTGATGCAGGTCAGGTTATCCCGCAGAGAATAGGAAATAGAAGCAGCTAGCAATAAAGCAATTGGAAGCAAAAAGAGTTCTTTGATTGATAAACTCATAGAGTTATATTGTCTTATCTCCAAAAACTAAATACATCTCCTGTTTCCAGCAAAGTTATAGGGAAGAGAATAAGACATAACATTACAATAAAGGCATAAAACAAGTCTCCAGGCATAACTTAATAACCACCAGTTCCCAAACTGTTGAAGAATTAATCTTGAAACTTGATGGGTCTTTTGATGTCTCTTCCTGATCTGTCTTTTGCAATGTTATGCGATCGTTCAGATGGTCCCTCATTGAATATCTTGTTCAAATTGGGAATGGATATATTTCAAAGTCATGCATCTCGTTTTCAAGTTTACCTTTATTCTAATTTGTTTAATTTTTTCCGGAAATAATGACAAATATACACCCAACCACCACTACAAAACGCATAATAAACAAACGAATCATATGACACGCACGCTTGAAAACAAACCAGAAAATTCCAGCATTAACACTAACGAAAGTCGCATAAGATTCCAACTCTGGCAAAGCCTTCCTAATTTGTGCATAATCTTGAGCGCCATTCAATTAAAGTATAAGAAAACGTAGCAACAATTCCATTTTTCTTTTTGTTGAAAAACAACAAAATTCATGTTGTTGTTAATTACATATGAGAGAGAGGGAAGCATTTTGTTTTGCATATGTTTTTTTTTTTTTTTTTTGATAAATTGTATATGCTAAAGTAATAGACTAATAGTGATGTTGTTTTTAGTTATGTCATTGTTGGCTGGGTTCGTTTCATTTTGTTAATGTATTTTTAGTGCGAGACATTCTTTTTTCTTTTAATAAGTTGATAGTTTTGATAAAGTTTTATAAAGCCACTTAAATGCGCTTTGTCCTCTTGTATGATTTTTCTCATCTAAATGAACATCGTACTTATTTGTCAATCATTTTCGGTGTCTACGGCAGAGGCCGAAAATGCAATGCTTGTAATCGACTTGGTAGTATGGTTTTTTGGGTTCTTTCATTTAAAGGGTATTTTCAGAGGCCGAAAATGCAATACTTGTAATCGACTTGGTAGCATGGTTTTTGGGTTCTTTTATTTAAAGGGTATTTTCAGAGGCCGAAAATGCAATGCTTGTAATCGACTTGGTAGTATGTGGACTCTAGCACAACGTAGTATTCACATTTTCTCGTCCCTCTCAACTCTCAAGTGTTTCTTAATTGACAGTCTGAGTTGGCGCCCATTTTGGGATCTTCTTGTTGTTGAATTGGCTACTATTGTTAGAAAATGGAAGAGAATAATTGACAGCTAGGGTTTTGCAATATTCTTTTGAGTCGGTCTCTGAAAATTCATTATATCAATTTGTATTTTTGTCCCTTGTCGGTTCATTAACCAATTATACGACAACCTTCAAAAACCAAAACAAGAGTTCCTAAGCTACGTAGAGTTTATTACAGTCTAGTGATTTAAAGTTCGAATCTCAGAAATGAAGAGGTTGCAACCACTTTATTATTTTAATTTCTAAATGTGTTGTATTTGGGTATGTGTGTGTGTGTAATATATATATATATATATATGTCTCTTTCCATTGAAAGATCTTTTGTTGTGTCCACTTCACACTATATTTCGACAATAATTGTCTATCTTTTATACATTCTCTTAAATATCATATCTATCAAAAACCACCCAAATTTGGAATTATTTAACTATTAGATTAAATAGTAGTCATAATAGTGTTTCTTAGAAAATTGTATGCGTCCATTTGTAACCCTATAATTGGACGTTAATGATTTTGGATTTATCTAATTTTTGCATTGATGATTTAGAAATGATACACTAAAATATAGACAGTTTAAAATGTTGAAAAAAATTACGGAATGAGCATCACAAAGTGTCCATCAAATAAAACTTTTTGAGAGATCCCTCAACGGAAGGGAACGTATACTATAAAAAATTGAGAATTAAGTGAAGTGGGCTGACTTTTAGAGAAAGTTGGATTGGGGGGTGGGTTTCTTTTTTTTTTGGTGGTGGTTTGGGATGGTGTTTTGGGTTTTTAGAGGATTGTGTGAGTGAGAGGATTGTGTGTGATATGTTTTGGGTTTTTAGAGGATTGTGTGAGTGATAAAAAAACGAGGAAGGACAAGAGCAATGAGGCCCTTGAACAGATGATTGAAATCCAAATCCAATAGTGTGAAGGGAAAAAGCCCTTTAAGGACTTGACGAGGAAGAAACCCTTGTTTTTGGTCCAACCACATATCATAACAAACTATTTTAGGCTGACGTCTAAATCAACGAGTAATGGGAGAATCGAATTTAGAATCTCGTAAAAAATGAATTCGGTGAGCCATGATGTTGGAAAGGTCTCCGCATGGTTCTAAGTTTGAGGACGTGAAGAAACATCTCACAATGAAAAAAGACCCCACTTGCTTAAGGTTATTAAATCGTGCATGTAACTTCCTTCGTTGAATCATTGTATCATAGCATATTGGTAACACTACAAGAAAAATGAGCTATGGGTACAAAATAAAGGACACAATTGAGAATTTTGTGTGTGTTTGACCATCAAAAGACTGAAACAGTTCCCATTTCATAAAAGGCATCATTGATTGTGCCTATTGTAAAAAAAAATAGGCACAAATACATTATCTGACAGCTTTATTTAAAAAAATGGCTCTAATATATTATTTGTGCCCATAGTTTACTTCTAAAGACACAATTCTTTGTTCTTTATTATTTTTTTTCAAAAACTTATGGTCCACATCCATCCAACACTCTCTTTTCCACTTAACTCACCCACTTCTATCCAACTCTCTCTCTCCCCCCTTAACCCACTGACACCCTTCCTAATTATCCCCACCCACTATCACTCCCCCTTAGCCCGCCCTCAACCATCCAACTCTATCTCTCTCTTCCCCTAACCCACGACACCCTTCGTAGATCATACTCCCCTCAACCCACCCACATCCATCCGTCTCTCTCTCTCTCTCTCTCTCTCTCTCTCTCTCTTCCTCTCCCCTTAACCCACACACATCCTTCATATTTATCTCTTTCATATTTCCTTATTTTTAGTTCTGGCTCTTCCCTCTCTGTTCTCTCTAAAACGACCAAGCCGGACTCGCCGGCCAAGTTTCGACCAAAACTGGGTCTCGACCCAATAGAGAAAACTGATCCTCTCATAGTGAGCTTCCTATCTATGTAAGTGGGTTTCTTCAATTTTAACTTTTAGATGTGAAAAATTATTGAGATTTAGGACTAATTCGGTTTTAACTTGGCATGTTGAAGATTTGGTTAGTGGTTTTGTTTGGGAGATTGAATTCAAGCTGAACTATAAGAAAGTGGTTCAAATTCTTGGATTTAGGTAAGAACCCGAGAAACCCTAACCCTAAACGTAGCCTTCTTTCGATTTCTAAGAGATTGGCTTGTTTTTTGTGTGTTTTTATGTGAATTATTTGAAGGGTGGTGATTTTATATATGAAAATCTGAACTTTTTGCCTGGAATTTAAGTAGGTACAATTGTATGGAGGAATTGGTTAGAAGAGATTGTATGTGTACCAGATCTGGGTTTTTTCAAGCCGCACCAGATCTGAATTAGTGTTCTTTTGGCGGCTTGAGTTTATATATTTTCAGATATGAGTTATTTATTATTGTTTATTTTCTGTATGCACGTCACAGTTTACTCACTTGGAGACTCGCTCCTATCGTACACAATTTTCATGTACCTCCTTGTCTCTCTTGTTCTATCAATTTTTGTAGTTCTACATTTGTGTGTTCTGTTTGTTGATTAAATTTAATGAATTAGATCGATGGTTTTAATTTTTTAATACTAGTCATTGACTTTGGCAATGAGAGGTCCAAATGCTGCATATATCATCCAGATTAGTTCGTCTGTGGAGCAAATGGAAAGATAATGTCATAACAATGTTGTATTGTTTTCTTGGATGGAGAGTTGATTGCCCTGTTTTTATGTGTTTGGTAATGCAGATACGAGAATGTAACTGTGGTGGAGAATATAGAGAAGATGGTAGGATCTTATCTTCCAGCAGATAAGGGCAGTTTTTTGGTTTTGGCATTTAAGATATTTAAGTAGGGTTTCTCTTGCAATTGTAGAATTTGTTAATTTTGGAAGCATGAATTAAATGTTTGGGATTAACTTACAATGCTTCCTATCAAAACCAATTAAAACCATTTTCTGAATCTAATGTTACAATGTTGTGCACTCTCATTGATAAGCAGATTTTCATTATGATGAATTTTCAGTCTTTCTCAAAATCTCCATAACTAAAATTCATGTGGCATTCGGTGTGAATTTTGTCGGATTTGTCTCATTGCATTGTATTGATTTCTTGTATTGTTACCATGCCCGTCAATTTTTCCTTTTTATTCCTAACTGTTTTCACTTTCAAGGAAAAGAGGTTTCTTGTTTGATGCCTTGCAGGAGAGCTGTGGTTTTGACAATTGGGGCAATTAAACGTCACTTATGAAGTATGTTTGTTACTTGTTTCATTATTAGCAAATGAACATAAATTTAATTTGTTATCTTCATTTAACTTCTTGATGATCACATTATGTTGATAATAAAAGGTGAAGATCGGATTTGAGTTTTCACTCCCTAAAACACTACGATGTCTAATAAGGAGTACGTTTCTTACTGGATGATTTTATTGTTAGAAATGAACATATGCTATTGTCATGTTGTAGCTTCTTAACTGTTTATACACAACTAATAGTGGGGAAGGATTTTAGAGGGATGGACTATATATTACATTGGTACAGCCTACAAGTACCCACTTGAGGGCTTTGTTGCAAGTTTTTAGTTGTAGTTAAGTGTTTAGGTTGCTCTTAGGAGAGACTGAACAGTGAGGAAACGTGCAGTCTTAAGAAACTAAACAGCTCCATGAATCTTATCTTTCCGTATGGAAACATGGAAGACTTCAGTAAAGCTAAAAATTAGATTTGAAAATACTTATTTATTAGCTTGTGCGTTGTAGAGCCTATAAGGTTCTTAGCAGTTTCTATCTTTCTTAGAAATTAATGTCATAACAATGATTGTCCAAACTTCTATTGTTTTGTACATCTTGTTTGCTGGTAATGATGGTTTTGCTGCTTAATTTAGTTGCATATTTTGTTCACTGTAATTTGGTATAACAAAGTAGCAATGCATCACTGCTATTGAGTTCTTAATGCCGATTGAAAGTTTTGGTCCTTGAACATGACTGGAAATAGGTCCTTTCTTTTTTTATTTTTTTAATTTCATTTTCACTTTCATTTGGATTTCAGGAGGATGTGATTGCACCATCCACCAAGTTGGAAAAAGAGGTAAATCTTTGATATGGCAGATCTGGAACTCTTACGTATTGATTTTAACCAACTCCTTTTTAGGTGTAATTTTGGACTTATTTTGTTTTGAAGTCGACTATATTTGTTTTGGCTTCTGATGAGGTGCAAGGCTTGCTGGGGAAGATGCATTTGTCCAAAAATGTCTGCTTTCAAGTTCTTTTTGCATTAGAGATGAAATATGTAACATTACAATATATGTTTCTGAGATTGAGAATGTGTTGTAGGCTTTCTACATTTTATGAAAATTTAAAAAAATAATAATAATTACAGTTTTTTCAATTTTGATTTTTTTTTTAATATTTAATTCTTGTTGGCACAATTATAATATAAGTGTCAATATGGCTGGAAAAGGTCTTCTGATAAAGTTGTCAGAAACAGGCACAAATAATGGTCCATTTGTGCCTGCATCTTTGAGCACCAAACAGTGTATTGTGCCCTTTTAGCAATGGTGACGCCCATAGAGGGCACAGATAAAAACTTAGTAGCTGCACTGTTGCTATTGGTCTATGGGCACATGTCTTCGTGCTCTTTGGCCTCAAAGGGCACATATAATTTATTGTGTGCAGTGCCCATATTTTTTGTAGTGTAAACGTGTGAAGCTCAATGACTAGACGCATTCCATGTCACTTAATTTGTATTGTCTACATGTCAAACTTGAAATTTTACCTCACACAGGCCTGTGAAAAAATGCTCCACATTGAATGTTTACCAACCTTGCATGTCCCTATTATTTCAAAATAAAAACCTTGCATATCCTTACAAGAAGTGGGACTATAGTGCTTATGTAGTCAATTTGCTTTATGGTGAAATCTCAACTTTTTTCACATAGAGCGTTGAATGTCTCCTATAACAGAAGATAGAAAAATACAACTCGACTAAGAGCTCTTTTGTAACGAACCATTTGATTTATAATAGGGTTTACATGAACAAGACACTTGCAAAATCTTTTTGCAAAAATTAGAAAAAGAAATGAGACGAAGATTGTTATATGCTGCATGCTTTAGTCGTTCTAGTAATACTCATCTTTAAACAAGAAAGATGGAAGAAACAAAGGGTCAAACATATTGATGTCATGTTTGTGTGGAGCTTAGTAAGACCACAAAATCCCCACCACTAAAACCATACTAAAATCGAATATATAAGATATGAGTGTTTAACTCAAAGATAAAGTGCTATATGCAGCAGCCTTTACATGTATTCTTCGAGTCTTTACAGCCAAGAAAGTTCCATTATGTTCCACAAAAAGCTTCTACCTTGAATCAACTAAATCACTTTCAAAAATCAAAATCAAAATTATGTTGCGAACTATGCGAACAATGGAACTTTCACTTACTGCATGCGCAGAGTCCGAAGAAGCAATTTTCCACCACTAAAGCTCCTTTATCTGTCCTTGTTTAATCAAACCCCTAGCTAATGGCTTATGCTTTGTGGATAATATAAAGATATTGATCAGCTGGCTCACTGCTCATGCCTTTGATAATTGAAATAATATGCCTCCAAGGACTAGAGGTATCTTAGCCTCAAATCAAAATGATAGTACGAAGAATAAAGCCAAATTATCTGCAGAATTTATGGAACAAATGGAGCCATATAATATATATCTCGTTTGAAATTGATGAGGTACTGGAGATCAATATATATAATCCAACTTGTTTGCTAAGTGGGTGATGAATAATTTGCAGATTCTTTCATCATCTTCTTCGAAATGTTATTAAATTCTATATCATAAATATAAGTTAAGAAAGAAAAAGGAAAGAAAGAAAGAATACTGGAATAAACTTTCAAGTCAAGTATAACAAAACATTTTGTGATGTCATGAATTCATCCAATTACACAAAAACTAATGGATTTTATCAAATATATGTTGCTCAAACGCGAGTGAATAGTTTCGACTGTTGGACGAGATATAAACGTCGTTATACTTAATAATTGTTATAATATGAATGGACTTGTAAAATTAGGATGAATGCGTCAAAACTCGCGAGTGTCAAAAGTTATCGAGCATAAATTTATTATTGTGGGGACTGGGGTACTGGGGAGTGTGGTACCCCAGTTCCCACAATTAGGGGTGGTTCGGTATGGGATCCCATACTGAAACCCTTGTCCTGATTCTCAAACCGAAATTTTCGGGAATCCCAATTTCAATACTGATCCCAAACCAAATTTTCGGGAATTCCGAAATAGTTTCGAGATTTTGGGACAAATCGGGAATCCCGAAATGGTTTTGGGCTTTTGGACTAAAATTTGACATATTATGCTTTTGGGCTAAAATTCAACCTTCTATATTGAAAATTTGACATATAGGCAGGTTATGTGACAACCACAAATCAAGAGTAGTGAAAGATCGAATGTCATGGTTCTGTCTTGGGTTTTGTTTTCTTCTCCCTTTGTAGCTTTATTTATTTTTTTGTTTCAGTTTACAGAATGAAAAAAGTCATGATCTTACTCTCTTCTACTCTCTTCTACTCTCCTTGCCCAAACCGCGGCTTAATCAAGTGCACCACAACACATTTATTCAATTATTCTTCTCACTTATTAGTAAATAGTGGAGCTCTCATACTTGGCATTGGTTAAGGAGTGGAACCAGGAAAAAGGATTAATTTGCATTTAAATGTGCATGATCATAGACTAAATATTCATGTCATCAACTGGTTTGAACCAAAAGCGTCAGTATTTGAAATTGAATCATAAAAACTTAAATAGTTAGGGGCTGGCAAACCTACAGACTTTGTAATGTCATGTCTCAAAGATAGGATGCAATGTCAATTAGTTTAGTCATCTTGATGAGTAAGCATCTTATTAGTCAATTAGCTAACTAACAGTTAATTATGTGATTAGCAATTAGTTAATTCATGGGTCTTTAGCTGAACTTGCAACCTGCTATATATAGTTGAGTTAAGTGAATGATATGCGAGAGTTCTTAAATGTGATCCTGGTTCTCTTTCAGTGTCAAGGTTTAAACAGGGTTCTATTACTCTACATAGCAGGCTATACTGGAATCAAGAAAGCTGATCATCTAAAACATTTTGACTGAACTAACAATATCGTTAGCAGTTAAAACTTAAAACCATTTGAAAACTTCAAAGCAGAATCTAACAACCAAAAAAAGGACGCTACAACTAACTATCTGTTTACTAATCCATGATATCATGACAAAATTCATCACAACTCACTCATCTCACATAAGTTTCTCCTTCTATTTCACATCCCTATCATTTCAGCTAGATTAATATATTCATCATCCCTTGAGAACGCAAAACACACACACACACACACACACACACACACACACTAGAAACCCTAAAACAGAGAAATAACAACAAATAAAAAATTGAAGGAGAAGATAGAGATATGGCGTCTCACCTTAAGTTAGTGTGTCTTCCGCAGACGATCCCAAAATTGAATAGCCTTTCGCTCTTCTAAAACCAGTAAGGGAAGATTCAAGATTGTTGTGAAAAGTGAACTCTGTAAACAAAATGAATTCCAAACCCTAAATTAAATTTCAAAAGACAGACAAAAATTAGGTTTCAAAACACTAAATTAATTAGCTAATTTGGGGTGAGAGTGAGACTCGAAATCGGTGTGGTGTTGAGAGAGATCGCGAGTTCTATCCGTGAGAAAAAATCGCCCGAGAGAGAGCGGTGGCTGTGTGGTGAAGGAAGGTTGGAGAGTCAGAGATGATAGTATGGTGTGGTGGTGGGCCGGTGGCTGGCTGGAATTCGACACAGACATATGAGATGAGGGCTCGGTGAGGGAGGCTCAGGGGCTACGCTTCGAGTTCGATGGATGGAATCAATCAATGGAACGGAAATACGGAAGTGAAATGGGATTTGACCTAAAAACAAATGAACGGCACAGATTAAATCCAAAACAATAAACGATTGAAATAATTTTCTTATAATTAAAAAATAATATATATAATATTTATTTTCGGTTCGGTATGTGAATACCGAAAATATGGAGATGCAAAACCGGATCTCGTATCGAAAATTTCAGGAATTTTGGTTTGGGATCGGGATTTTTTTTGTTTGGTTTGGGATTTTTGGGATTTTTTTCCAGCCCAGTACTAGGGAGGAGAGTTTTATTTTATGTGTTTTCATTTGTATAATGACATATATATATATATATATATGTATGTATGTATGTATGTATGTATGTATACTTGTGTTCAAAAACACACTGAAACAATGCCATGCGTGTAAGGAAGTTGATAAGAAAATAAAAGAAAAGGTACTGGTGTCGCATCAGGAGAAAGAGACGGTGGAGGGCCTGGGGGCATCCCAGGCATCCATCACTCAGTCTGTCAATTATAAACTCGTTGCTTCTTTTGCTATCTGCAGGATTAAGAAAATACAAATACGAAAGAGAAGACACCTGTACGACTGGACTGGACTCTTGAACACCAGACAGACTCATTCACTGAAAAACCCTACACTCCTAGGTTTTTCTAGGTTTCCCTACCCTACAATAATTGATCAATTCACCCGTTAGTTAACACCGATTGGGTCCCATTTCGGAAGAAATTTTGAAGTGTACGGGCGACAAGGTTACGTACATGGTGTAATAGCTTACACGTTATAATATAAATTGACGATAACATTAGTAGTAATTGGTTGTATTACGTGATGGATATACATGCAAATCGAAAGTCATTAAGGCAAGAAAGAAGAAACTTCACCCAGTCAAACAACCAGTTCTTGTATTCCAGCTCTCAATTTGCTGCTGTTTATACACCGAAATTAATCTAGTTGCATATATATTTCACTTGAAAAATTGAAGACTAAACAGAAGAGACAACCAAATCCTCTTGTGACCTGTGAGGAGTGTTCAATATTATTCATCTGGACATTCATCATACATCGTTGACTACCACCTTGACCAACGACCATCCTCTCATTTCATTGGTTATTTTTCTGAATTAGTATTGGGAAAAAGGTTGGGTCGCGTGTCCGTCAAGCACCCTCTGCACTCTGCAGAAGAAGGTCAGTTTCCTGACAAAGCTTCTTTAAAAAATTATAAAATAATTAACAGTAAAAGAAAGGGAAGAAGAAGAAGAAGAAAATTTTCTATATATTCTTTAGATTACTTACCCGAAAAACATGGGTATTTAACACTAGTCAAAAATTAACTGGCCGTACTATGAGTTTCAGGTGATAACATTTTCATGCACGCATAGTGCTGCCATGCACTGTGTACGGACGTGATTCATTGATGTAAATGCACCGTAGTTTGTGCATATAAATGGATTTGTCTCCTATCCCTACATATAGATTAGGGTTTAGGTACAGACCTCATTAAAGTGATTGTGTGGAAACCGTGGATAGACGATCATTAATTGTTCAAAATGCTAATGATATTTTTATTAAGAGTGCACTTTTAATTTGAAAAATTGGTTAGAATAATGAAATCAAATCTCAATTATTCAAATATTAATGATACATCGATTAAATATTAACAATAGAATAATCAAAATTATAAATATTGTGATAATATATTGACGATATACTAATCATTTTTTTAAATAAGATTGGAAAATGATCATTTCAACTAATTTTGTTTTTGATTTCCATGTTTGAGTTAAATATATATAGCCCACTTTGGTTATTCATATCGATTCTATGGAATTATGAAGGATCTGTTCATATAGGAAAAAGAAAGAAAGGAAGGACGCAAGTAATATACTTGTTTCTACCATATTATACGTCGAAATCATCGAGTAGCCATCATGATGTCTTGGTAACCCACCCTTTCCGAAGCACACGTACCAATCTTAAACAAATGAGCTCTCCATTCCTTCAACTTTGAGCCCACTTGCTTAAGGACACATGACAACACTATAACAACGTTTCTAGAGTTCCAGATCGATCCCAAACAAGAATGGGAGACTCTCCTCACCTATAAAAGGAGACTCATCTCCCACAATTAAGGGCTCTTGGATCTTAGGATAGGACCCCTAATCCAAACTTAAGCTTAAAGCATTGTATTATGTAAACATTGCATTATTAATGAAAACTCCTCTAATTACCTAGATGTAGCCCCAATTCGGAGTGAATCACGGTATATCTTTGTGTTCTTGTGTGTTTGTGCGATTTATGGTCAGATCTAAGTTGAGCCAAGATCGATCTAGTTCTGTGCATCAATAATACTAATTAAGTAATTTGCATCAGAGCTCATTCTCTTTGAAGTGGATTATATATGTAAATATTTTGAAATGCGTTCTTCGTTCAAAACACATTTATTTTTGTTATCTCCCATCATCTTCATTAAGGTTTTTGACAGTACGTGGTAAAGTCAGTCTCAATTTCCAAATAATCAATTATACTGAAAAATTTCACATATTCTATGCATGTGCTATTGAGGGGCAATTATTCTTGAAGAATATATAAAAGAAGAAGAGAAAGTAGAAGGAAATAACATGAGAAAATTCATTTGTTTTTGTTATTTATTATATATTAACATTATCCTTTTTTATTAATGCAAAGCAAGCAAAGACACGATTTGCACAAAAATAATTGACAAAAGACTTCTTTCAAATTATAGTAATACAGATCGATATATATATAACCCTAGGGTTTTGACATGCGAGGGAGAGTTGATCAACACATAACCCTAATCTTCTATTGTATCATTGACCAATTCTCAAGTATTCTTAAAATTTGGAAATAGGAAAATAAGAACCAACAAAAAAAAAGGAGGGGGCGAAGGGTGGGGAGAGATAAAAATAGAAAGAGGAAAAGAAGCTGAGGAATGTTTGGACCGAGTCTAAAACTAGAAGGAAGTAAAAGAAAAAAAGAAAGAGAGTGAAAAAAAAGGACATAGACCAAGCAAATCATGAAGGGATAGGGAAGGAAGGGAAGGGGGGCATTATTGTACAGGGGGTGTTGAATTGGTACACACCACATGAGGAATATGTTCGTTTCGACTTGGAACCAAAATAGCCAGAACACACGAGGCTCGCTGGAGCAGTACCACTGTGTACTCTACTGATCATTGATCCTTTCTTACTTCAACAGGCAACTGCAGAGCACCTCACGTGAAAAAGTCACATCTTGTCATCCTACTCCTACCTATCACAAGTTTCAAACACATTAACTGAAAAAAAAAAATAAATAAATAAAAACAGTGTTTCACTTCCAAACCCTAAATATATATTATGATCTAACTCCGGCCAGGCTCTCTCCTAACATCCATAATCACCCATTTTAAGAAAAATATATTAGTTATGTGTCTAAATTTTTTTATTAATTATTGGTCGTATACAAATGATTATATATGCAGCAACTGATTATGCTTAAGATGTTTTTTGGCACTAGTCACCCACTTAAACATAATACAAAGTATGAGATGGTTCAACTGTCGAGTTTATTATATTCACAAATTCAAACAGGATTCAATGCAGTACAATATATACGATAAATACGATCGTTAATGAGTAGATCTAGATATGGCATTATTCACCTAAAAGAAGGCAGCCGTTTTAACACCTCGAGCTAGTGTAAGCCAAACATGGTTAAAAAGAATTTTGAAAAGGTGAACATAACACCTTTGTTTAGATTTGATCCTTGCATTCTAACACAATATATCAAAGCGGACTCTTCACATCATAATATCTATAAGATTTTTTTTTTTTGTGCATTGCAACACCGTCATTATAATATAAGTGGACGATATGATTTATATATGTCCCACTGAAATGGTATATTAATTAAAAAAATATAAACAAGTACCATAGTTTAAGTAAAATTATAATAACTAATATCGTCATGTTTTGGTGTAATGATATTCTAAGTACATTGAAAAATTACTTGTCTACATAGGAGCTCTATATTCTTTCATCATGCTTCTTATATTAAGTTGTTAAGAATCCTTTAATTTATGTTTCTTCTCTCTCCACAAAATTTAAAACTTATAGTGTGCTTGTAAAATATATTATGAAATCAATATTAAGTTGCTAGTCACTATGGCAAATTCCATCTCTCCTCCTGTTGTTGAGCCAAAAAAGAAGATCACAAAGTTTTGTTGGAGGAACTCTTTCCTTATTAAATCATGATTTTCTATGTTTAAGCTAATTAAATAAAAATAAACCAATAAGTAAAGCAACAAGATTTCCTGCAGAGTGCAGAGTCTCTATAAAACGCAAAAGCATGGTGAGAACTGACACAAGGGGCTTCTCACTTCGTCCAACCCCCACGAACTCACAAACCCTCGCCCCCTCTGCTCCTCTCACGTACCGTACTGTCCATACAATTTCACTTCCAACTCCAAACATTTTCCGAGAAATCAAAACTTTCCCGGAAAATCACCCTCCAATGTCACAATAAACCATCTCACAAGTAGTCACACCTTCTGTAATCAATTTCCACCTCCAACCGGTTTTCCCTGTTTGTGTCTTACCGAAGATGGGGTCGTGGGATTTTGACACCGTGAAGGCAGAGAAAACCAGCGCCATGCGGAGGTACAACCGCCTCCGCACTGCCGCGAAGCTCTTTCGTTTCGCTGAAATTGGCGCGGGCATCCTCTTCCTCTCCTGGACCTTCGCCCGCATCCCCTTCGCCCTCACCATCTCCCGCGACTACTTCCTTCTCCTCTCCGGCGTCGTTTCGAGCCCTCTCTTCGTCTTCCTCCTCTGTCACGTCATCATCGCCTCTTTAGTCCTCAAGTCGCGCCACGTCAGCTCGACCGATCGTAATAACGACGGCGTGGAGGCCGAACTCTACGCGGAATTCGTCGAAGGCAGCGCCGGAGGAGCCGATAGTAAGTCTCAGCTACAAGACAACGTCGTTCCGCGCGAGGCAGAAGAGGTTGTGTACCAGGACAAGCAGATCGTTTCGGAGGTGAACTCGGCGGATCCTAAACCGGAAACTGAGTCGAACTCGGACTCTGACTCGGAGTTCACGAACATCATTCGGAGGACGAAATCGGAGAAGTTCGAGAAAAAGCCTGCACCGGCAAAGCTGCGGAGATCGGAGACGGAGCTTTGCCGGAAAACGGTGAGGTCCAGAGAGGAATGTGCGGCCGAAGATACAGAGGAGGAGGACGATTTGAGCAACGAGGAGTTTCAGCGCGCCATTGAAGCTTTCATAGAGAAGCAGCTGAAGTTTCGTCACCAGGAGTCTCTGGCCGTTGTTCTGAAGAACCAGAGCTAATAATAAAATAAAAAAAATAAAAAAAATTAAAGTTGAGTTAATTGGATGTAAGCCACGGCTACCTACTGTTATGTACAGTAATTTCTGGTAGAAAAAAATGGGGAAATTATAAAAATCATTTACTACAATCTCCTTTTTGTGTTTTATTTTAATCTGAGCGTCGGATTGGATTTGATTGAGATGGATCCGACGGTGCAAGGAATTTTATTCTGATCGTAAGCGCGGGAATATTGTTGAAAATATGAACATTATGCTTCTTGCTTGTGGATATTATTGGAAATACATAGTTAGGAAAGAGCAGGAATTTGAAGGAATATATGCTACATGCATTATTTGGTAATTTTATTGGTTTATTTAATAAAATGGTGGAGGATTTGCTGAGGATTGAGGAATCGAATCGAATTCCAAAAGTTCCATGAAACGAGTGATATATACATATGAATATGCTTTATTACCTTTGATTTATGGAATATGATTCTCTCCCCTCATCTTTTCATCATCTTCTATATTATCCTCACACATTCTTAATTTCGTTTTTCTCTTTCTATAAAAAATTAATATAAGATGTTGACGTGGCTTAATCGTGATTGTTCAAATAGGAGGGAAGGGAAGGGGAGGAAAAAAAAAAACAAAGGGGAGAGAATCATACTCCTTGATTTATACATACACTTTGAGAAAATTCAGTAATTTTAATGGTGAAAAGGCCATGCAGCGATATTAATACACACATGTCATGACAAGTGTATTATAACTTAGGTTCATATATATATATAGCGTCATATCGTGCTCATATTATAACACTTGAGTTAACAATAATATATAGGTATAAACGTCATATTAAAAACGTCATTTGATAGGAACTATTTTAAGGCTATTGGTCTCCTAATTGAATAAGAGCATCTCTGAATGAGATATCAAATGTAAAACATAAAAAATTGATATTTGAGGACTTTATGCGGCAGTTTGACATTTGTACAATTTTTTGCTGCACTGGATGTGTTAAATAAAAACATTTTTTTTTAACAAAGCGATATTATTTAGGGATGTGCTATCTACATATCATATTTTACTTCTCACACCCCCTTGATAATTTTAGTTCGTTGATCTTCTTCAATTTATCCGATCCGACAGTCGAAAATTAAAAAGGTGTGTGAGAAGTAAAATGGAGTGTGTGGATATCACATCCCTATTATTTATACTAAGGGGAGGGGTTGGACTTAGCCTCACAATGGGCTAACAATAATGTGGTTCAAATTAAAATATTTTAACTCTCTTTATTGGAGTCCAATTATTGAAATAACCAATCAAATACTTAGAACACACAACAACGTTTATTATAAATTGCATTAAACATTAAAAAATCATCAAATCTATTTGATAACAACGGTCAAATTTGACGCCGAAGGCTCAAACGACTTTGCCTTTAATTGACCCAGCTCCACTTAAGAAATTGAAGACTGGGTTGAAGAGAGATTTGTTGTCATTTATTATTATTGTATGTCTATGCGACAGTTTTGACAATTCTATTGAAAATACTCTAAATAGGGCGGAAGCTGAAATTTTTTAGAAATTATGGTGCCTATAAACTTAAACCCACCTATTCAGAATTACAAGATCCTCTTTTTATTACCACCAAAGTGGCCTTTTTCAATCCGCAATCAATAAATAACAAACTTGATCCTTGACAAGAAATGCTCAATTTTCTGAAAAGTTCCACAGTTGCTTCTAGTAGGTATGATTCATTATTGATCATGTAATGATCAATTGCACCAAGCTTTCTCGATAATAACAATAATTCCATCAACCATTGCCGAACGCAGGGACAATATTTTTACTGTTAAGTTAACACAATTCTTTAGTGGATAAAACAGCACCAATCATCATAAAATTATATGGCAATGATCTTCCAAACTAAAGTGTACTCTAAACAATCCCTTGAATCTTCATACCGAAAGTTACTTACACCTTTTCTTCTAACAGGAGATTTGATTCTTAGTGAAGTGATCTTTTTATTTCAACCAAACTTTGTTTTAGGGTGGAATCCATACACATCTTTTTATCTTTCACACGCTCATGTTTTGTTATTTGATTATTCGACAGTCGAAAATTGATAGGGGTGTTGAAAAGGTAAAATAAGGTGTATGGGTAGCACCACTCTTATTTTAATTATATATATATATATATAATTTTGTTTTATACTATGTGTATCTTATTTGTTGACGTAGAATCCACATTTACAGTAATTTCTATAAGATGGTGAAAAAAATGGTACAAATAGTTTCATTGCATTTTTGCTAAAAATAGTATTGGATCTCTTGATTTTCATGTCTTAATTATCACAACTTATGCTTCTATTAGAATTCTCAAAAAGAAGACATGTCCAATTATTTTGGTTTAATATTTAAGTGATCATGTAGAATGGGAAATTGTAAGTAGTAGGTGCGAACTAGGAATGAAAATTCAATATTTTTTTCTTATATATATATTTGGGGATTAATTAGAATAGTGTAGCTTAAAAAGTTTCCCAGAAGTTGATGAAGAAAGGACTTGATATCCACTGAAATTTCGAATGGTCATTTTAGTTCAAATACTTTTTCTAAAGAAAATTTAAGAAAAACCAACACATTTTCAATTTAGGTAAAATTGAAAAGTCAACAAAACTAGTTTAAAAAAATTACAATTTAATATAATTACACAATTGCTACTTAACCTTACTTTCTTTGGGCCAACGGCCGGCTAGATTTTTTGATGGCGATGACCGACATACGAGATTTTTCGACAAAGGTAACCTACCGACGACATTTTTCCGTGCCTAGCTACCGGCCGATGACATTTTCTTGCGACCAGTCACTTTATTCTAAAAAATGTCTTCTATGGGTTTTGAACCAAACCTCATGGTGAAGAGTAAAATTTTGTGCCACTACACCACACAACCACTTATGATATATATATATATATATGTATGTATGTATATGTGTGTGTGTGTGTTATGATATATATATATATATATGTATATGTGTGTGTGTGTGTGTTATGATATATATATATATATATATATATGTATATGTGTGTGTGTGTGTGTGTGTGTGTGTGTGTATGTGTGTGTGTGTAAAGTTATTGTCCAACAATGACTTTCAAGAACTCCTGTGAAATATAAAAATTATATATTTTCATTGCCTATACATGTGAAAGATCAAGAACTAAAAATTAATAAGGATAATTCGAACGCTCAATGAACAAGAAAACACCTTTATATAAAGTTATTGTCCAACAATAACGTTCAAGAACTCATGTGAAGTGTAAAAATTATATATTTTCATTCCCTATACATGTGAAAAATCAAGAACTAATAATTAATAAGGATAATTCAAACGCTCAATGAACAAGAAAACACCTTTATATTAGAGTCTTCAGTCTAAATGCACTGGCTAATTTGTTGAAACAACTCCAAACAATAACCTTCCGAAAAATAACGTAAATTGAATTATATTGAAGTCTTCAGTCTATATGCACCGGCTAATTTGCTAATTTGTTGAAGTCACTCTATATTGAATAAAGACTTTTTATGACTTCTTAAAGGTTTATGGAAATATTATTGACACACCCTGATTCGGAATGTCCATCTGGACTCCGAATCGAGCTGTGCTGGCTTCGTCACCAAACTCTGTAACGAACTCAAAGATTTTCCGGTGAAATCTCCGCCGTTCACAGGCTAGGTAAACTTCGAGGTCCGTCCTTTCTCTTCCTCTCGATGAGATGGCTTGATTTATGAATTACCATGTGAAAATTGAACATGTTTTGGTGCAGAAATACCTCTGGGAAATATTCCCCAGCTTTCCGACAAACCATTTGAGTTTTGCAGGCCTTTTTCCGAGCGATCCCGACCATGGCTCGACATGATTTTGGTATATAATCCTCATTCCCTCTCTGAGCTTCAAATCCATAAATTTTGTGTTGAAAATAGTTGTGAAATCAGGCTAATCAGAGCTGGGGAAATTTCCCGGCCAAAATTCCGATGTTCTCCTTCACTGGGTCCGGCGGGTGCAACCCGCAAGTCCATCAAGTCAATAATAAAAATAAAAAAATAAAAAAAGGGCCAACCCAGATTTGTGGGCCAGATCCGACCCAACCCAAACCCGGATACGACCCAAATCCATTTCGGATTTGGAGAGAATATTCCCTTGGAATATTTTGTTTAACCTTTCAGTTAATTTTAACAGAATATTCCATCCGAGAATGGAATATTTCGTTAAAGTTAACTGTTGACCGTTAGTTGACTTTTGTTGGACTTTTTCAAAATTTTCTCAAAAACCCTTTTAGGCTAATTTCGACGTCCTGAGTCTGTTTTTAGCATCCATTTAGTGAAATTACAAGGTTTTAATGTAGTTGACCGCCGGAGCGTCTAAGTTGATTTTTTTAGGGTTGATCATTGACTTTTCGTTGACCTTTTACTAAAATTGCCCAGGACTTAATGTATTTTGACGCTCTAATTCCAAATTCGCACTCTGTTTTCCCAAATTTAATCGTTTTAGTTGATTTTTACTAATGGGTTCCAATATTATGCTTAGGTGCAATTGCTATCGAAGACTCTGACTTCCTAGCTTGAACGGATGTGACATCGTAAGTAACTGTGAGTGAGTCTTTTCTTTGATATATACATATATTTATTTAGTTTCCATATATACATCTAGTCATGAATTTTCTATGTGACTGCCATAATTAAGTTAACATTTATAGGAAATGACTTAACGATGAGAATTAGAAAATTATTATAAATCCTACGGGATGCCTTAATTAGATTTACGGCTATGGATAATATTATGTTGACTAGAATTATCGAATCACTGTGGCATGACTATATTTATGTTATTTGCTCATCATTTGCTGCACTAGTATTAGTACTCGCCCGGGTCAGGGCCAATCTTTCACGTGCATGTTCATATTGCATCGTACCCTCATTTTGGATCCATTATAGGTGCCAGTCCTATCCTAGATTGCTATAGGCAATCAGGACTCATATGTGATGCGCATAGCACCAATCTTCACGTGATTGTAGTACTAGAGCGTAAATCATTATTACACCCAGTCATGTTCATGTCAGAATACCTCTACATGAACTCGTGTGTCA